CTGAAGTAAATGCGGTCAGACGGAGGCCAGAAAAAACCTGCCCAAAAAAACCCCGAAGGGAAAAAATGCGGGCAGGAAATCTGGGTAGGAACCAAGGCTCAAGCTCAAAGCCCTTCCTACGGGACTTTACAATGTCATCGAGAATATGTTGCTCCTAGAAATAAATAAAACAAAAATAAAGAAAAACCAAAGAGAGGGTGGTTCGTAAGCCTAGATGACGTACACGTGATATACGCAGCCTTATATACCCCCGATATGGCTATCCATGGTGCACCCGGCCTAGTACCCAGGCCCTGTTGTATCTCGTGCCGTCAAAATATTTATTTCTGTCTTCTTCGCGGGCTCATTCGTCAGAAATAACATATTTTGACTCCTCTACACAACATCAACAGACAAAACGTAATGGCAAATAAGTTTATTTTGGGACGGCTTGGCGAGAACCAACCCTACAAAGTACGTAGAGTGACAAAGTATTGGGCGAAATGACAAATGAAAGCTCCTAGAGCCCAAGAAACTGAAAGCCTTTATTTCTAGGTCATCATCGGTAGACGTCCTTGGCTAGAACGGACTTCCAGCGGCCGAGCCACTGAAACACACTGTCACTTACCCCGTTATAAGCAGCGGAAGTGGCCCCTCTCGAACGCAAGGAATAAAAAACCAAAAGTGGAAGGGTCAACCCCGAAACTTCTCAGGTCCTTTCGAAAAGCCTCTCTAATTGTGGATAGCTGATAGGCTCGTCCTGGGAAACTAACTTAAAGGAGCTGTTCCGGCGAGACATGGAGACAAAACCTAATGGGTCCAAACCTAAAGGTACGCATAACACGCGTGTAGAGGCACAGGTAACACTTTCCGTCAGGCGGCGTAGAGCAGAAGCCCTCAAGGGACGAGGGAGGTCTGGGGCGCCGAAAATCAACTCGAAGCGCTATGACGCCAAAAAATAAAGGCCTGGATCTGAAGAGGTAATTACGGGCCTTCCCTGGAACAAATAACCCCTGGAACTTAGGCAAGAAAACCCAGTCGACAACAAAACTATTCCAATGCACTCCATGTCTAGTAGAAACATTCCAGAAAATAGCTGACTTCCATAGGGGAGGAACAAGGGTTCCCGTGAGCGCGGCAGAGCCCAATGTGTCTGATGACTCTGACAATGAGCCAAGTTGTCGTCCTAACTCCAATTTAGAGCGAAGGCATAAACAGCCTAACAGCCTGGCTGAAAAAATCGAGAGTTAAGCCTAGGCAACTCGCCGTTGAAGCTACAGGCGAACCTGTAAATAGTGTAAGGACCTAAGAGGTGATGTAGCCCTTGAAAAACAGAATCGTTGAGGCCGTAACCATCGAAGTCAATGAGTTTGCAGATACAGTCCGCACTGGCGTTCAGGTCCCTAGGGATCCACTTGAACTCGAACGAAATACAATGATAGGAGCAAATTTGAAAAACAACTAGGGCTAAATCCCGGAGATCGCGTTTCCTGCTCCCGTCGCGAAGAATGGATTAGACGTTATAGTTGTCAGAATTCCAAAAAACCTTGGACTGATTATGTAAAGGGCTCCCGAAGGCTAGTAAGGCAAGACAAACCGCTTTGAGTTCTGTCCAAGTCGATCTATGAACACTTTCCGACCAATTCTGATGAAAAATCAGCTCAGGTTCAGACTCCTCTTAAGCGCTGCAGGCTGAATAGGAAGCATCGGAGAAGCCGGAGCTTACTCTCGCTGGAAGCGAACTGGAACCCCTCAATAAATTTTGCCGTTGAGAGGCTAACATTGTACGACCAAAATTCAATTTCAAACAAAGAATCAACGGACAGGAAAACCTAGCTATCCCAGGAAACAGCTGAGTAAACAACTGAGAAAAGAAATCGGGCCATGATACACGCGACAGATCCCACGCAACTCGAGAGGGAAATACTTTGGCCAGCTACACACGGGACGCGTAGAACATGGAGTGTGGTGGAAGACTAATATGAAGACAAAGCCACCAGGTCGTGAGACAATTTAGCAATGCGTTCATCAGTGGGTCTAATACTTCCATCGAGAGTGTAATGAACACGAAGCCACGAGAAAATTTGAACGGGCTCCCACATGGACTTTTCCTCATTAGGAATACGAACAAAGCGAGACTAAGGCAAATCGGCATGGACAGCCCGCAAACTGTAAATTTTGGCCTGAACGCGATAGGCTCCTCCTCCTATAGCTAGACCATAGTCAAGAAAAATGGCAATACGGATACCTTGGCTTCTTCTTGACTTCTGAAGCGGTTTGAGGGAGGCCGACAAGAACCCAAAGGGAAGCGCGCAAAGTAGAAAATACCTAAAAATCCAGGTCCCGAGATCCCAGGTGAACGCAAGGAAATACCGGTGATCAGGGAAAATTACGATAACCGCACTAGAGATAAAATATAAATGAATAAAAACCCATCTCAAAAATTTAAGTGGCCATGGACAAGTCTTCGCACTTGAATTTCTGTTTGTAGAAAAAGGAGCAAACGTGCCTAAAATCCAGTATAAACCTTTGTTAGCCTGAGCGGCGGGTCAAACAGAAAGCGGGTAAATGATATTGGAATGCAAAAAATTTCTGAAAGGAGGTTGAGACTGGGAAGCTCATTAACAGCTACGGACAAAAAGAACTGTAAACACGTGCGGTAGCATTGCAGGATAAGTAAAAAAACATAACAAGCTGAAAAAAGGGAATTTAGTAACTTAGACTAATGACATTCAAAATGAACAGAGAAACTAGCAAAGTATGCCAGAAATAGATCACTATGAAAAATATTCCCCAAACTGAAGGTAATTTAGAAATATCAACGGTACACTTAGAGCTCTAAACCGCGCCTAAAACTAGCGGGGTGAACGTCAGAAGAAACTGGTATAACATCGAGACAATCCTGATCCGTATTACGCCTTGCCGCTTAAAAAATTCAGTACTAAATTAGAATAGACTGCACCTGATTGTTGTCCTTCATCTAGCCATTTCGGAGTTTGGCATGTTTGGCTTGTCCATCGTCGGGTAACAGGAACGCTTTCCACAGGCAAAACAGGTCCCGACACTAGGTCGACGAGAAGGCGAAAAACAGGAACGTTTGACATAAGAGGCTGGGGTTGCATCTGTGAACTTGAGGTGGACGCCGGCGTTCCCACTGGCGAGGATCTGTTGTTGAGAGTTGAAAGAGTGGTCTTCTTCTTCTTACCGGCCTAGTACGCTACATGGCCGCAAAATTCTGCACTGTGGATCCTTTGAAACTGGTCTTCGTAGGCCTTCTTCTTGAACTTACGTGGTTCGTTATACTCTAGTTTCTCAATTTCTTTCATCTGCTACTCGGCCAAATATTCGTTAGGGCGCTTGATTTGACCAACGGTTTCTGTTAACAAATCTTTAAACGAGTCCATTAACTGTTTGTTATTCTCCTAAATGAGATCGGACACTTCGTCTTTGCTGACGGATATAACGCAAGAAAGAGCCGATAAGAACGTTAAGAAAAACCAAAGAGAGGGTGGTTCGTAAGCCTAGATGACGTACACGTGATATACGCAGCCTTATATACCCCCGATATGGCTACCCATGGTGCACCCGGCCTAGTACCCAGGCCCTGTTGTATCTCGTGCCGTCAAAATATTTATTTCTGTCTTCTTCGCGGGCTCATTCGTCAGAAATAACATTTTTACTACTAAGACTATAATTCATTTCGTTTTTTTCTTTTATATTTAAATCCGGTAATCCCAGTGAGGTTCAAATAACAAAAGCAGTAATTTACTCATGAAAGCAAAACCCTGAAGGATCATGTAAATGGCCAATTGATCGATCACAAAACTGCGTCCCGTCCACACTAATGCGTTTTGTTCGACAATGCAACATTTCGATGCATTTTTCCGTCCACACTACGGCCCAGTCTGCAAGAATCCGGATATTTTTGTAACCGCATACTTTTTTGTACGAATCGGCCTTATGCACACGAACACAGTGAATCCGCACACCGGAACCGCTCTCCAGAGTAGGTTTTTTGGGATCGGACGGGTTTGGTGAATTCTTGTGGACGACTGAAACCCGAAATTTTGAAATCAGCTACGTCATAAACTCGGGTCCAGTCTTCAGTAAAAAAACTCAAAATGGGGACAACAATTCTGTTGTTCTGACAAGTTTTGAAATGTTGGCTCAGGGGCGGATCCAGGATTTTTTTTAGGAGGGGGTGCCCTCGTTTCTTGCTCTACTTCAACACCAATAAAGCACATAGTTTTTTTTGGCAGAATACCAGTTGTATTAGAAAACCGCAGGTCATCTCAGGGGGGGGAGGGTGCGCACCCCCCGCACCCTCCCCCTAGATCCGCCCCTGTGGCTAAAAGAGCTGAAACTAGAAAAGATACGGCCAGTGTGCTTGAGATGGCTACAACTACATTCAAAACTGCCGCGAAATTACATCGCGGAAAAGAAAATGCAACAGATCATGGATTGTCAATTTTTCAGTTTCTTTTTTAACTAACGAGTGCCATACCAAGACCGGTAGTAAACATTTTTTCTCTTTTTGGAGCCTTTCTGCCGCTATATTAATTGCAGCGAAGATTCGTGATTCCGAAATGTTCTGCACCGCTGCAACAGCACTGTTCACCACTGTCAGAACGCTTTCCATTGCAGCGTTCAACAGACTAAATTTGCAACTGCCGCAGCCCAGCCCTTTCACAGCTCTTTTGGAGCGCTTCTTGAAGACACAAAACTTACAAAATCACTCCTTATCGATTGTAAATAACACCAGATCACCTCGATCAACACAAAAAAGCAAAACCTTCTCCATTCGCAACGCCCTCTGGGTTACTAATTTAATAAAATTAATAATTAATTAATTTTCCATTTTTTGACGGAGAAATCTACCCATTTTATAAACTGGGCATGCCTTGAGACAGCGCAGTTTATATAATGGCGACTGTCATCGGGCATAGCAGCGTCGAAGTCAGTAATTATTAGTTCGCACTACTGCTTATTGTAATCCACTTTCAACAATCTACAGAAAAGGCTATGTTTATTTCCAACTAATCGGACTACTCTAATTGCATCTATGTACAATTATCTACAAATTTGTTTAATTTGAAACTTTACAAAATTTTCTTTGTTATTAACCAAACCGGCTTCACGTAAGCAATAAAACCTAATATTTAAAGACATTCTACTACGTGTGTTAACGTAAACATTCTAGATTCTTTTTTGACCATCTAAATGAAAGCTAAAAACAAACACTAAGGCCTCAGGGTACTACGACAAAGAGAATCAAGAAATTCATCATGATTTACAACAATTCAAAAGTTTACATTGTTAATCCCAAATTTCCGAATATATCTACGTTGCATACGGGATGAAATTTATTGAGCAGTACTAAAGCGATTGCTTTCTTTTATATTTCTACGATTCAGCAACGAAAAATTGTCTTGCGCCACTTTTTCGACCAATCAGAGGAAAAAAGACTTCATTTTGCCTTGCTCGAAAGACTTTTCCCGCGCTAGGAGTCGGCTCTCCCGATTTACTATGTTTACTGATTGTTTCTTGGATTGACGAATTACTCATGCACACAACGACACAGGTTCTGGTTGCGCAGTACCAAGTTCTCAGTGCATTGTGGGGCTACTGAAACAACTGGAATGTCTCACATTTCGCCTGAGAGCGACGATACCGTCAGAGGATTTAGACGATGCAACGCTTATTCAAATAGGATGTGAAGACCTGACTCGACTCTTAACAAATCATCCGGCTTGATAGGGTGTTGATAGTTTACCAAAAGGGACCTTCTACTCCCGGTCATGTGAAACTCTCTTGATGCCCGTGTTGTTATACCTGAAGTAAGCTTGTCCAAAGGTGGAAGCACAAAGCATTGACGACACTGTACACGTGTCTCCTGATTTTCTTGCTAAGAAGGCGGGGTTGGCGGGATGTCCCGCCTTCATCGGGCTGGGAATCCTCACGGAAAACAACTAACATGTCCTGTAACAACAACAACAAAAATAGTTAAAAAGGTGCCTTTAGCAAAGTTTTTAAGCCCAGGACAATCCTCATGCCCACCATTCATCAAAGAGATTTGAAGGCACTGAAAATAGGAGAAGACAAGGAGAAGGAGGAAGAGGAGGAGGGCGAGGAGGGGGAGGAGGAGTAGTGGAGGAGGAGGAGGAGGAGAAGGAGGAGGAGTGGAGGAGGAGGGGGAGGAAGAGGAGGAGTGGAGAAGCGCGGACTCATTCCCGAACAGCGGCTGCTAATCGAGTCTACTTTAAAATCCGACACCGTTCAACTTACCGCAGTGTCGTTCTGTTCGTCTACATGAATCAGTACAAACATATCTGGGTCGTCTGCATTTAAGATTGCCAAGTAATGAACTGTACTATCTTCTCCTACGAAAACACGATGGGTATCCGGAAACTTGGCGGTGATAATACTGAAAAAAAAAATTTTACAAACATATGTTCAGATCATGAGAATTAAGAAAATGACCGAAAGAGGGACATCCTACGACAGCAATAAAAATCGTCAGATACTCTTCCGTAATGCACCTTATTTGTCCCCCCCACCCCTCCAATTTTTTTTATTTCTCCAGGGTATTACAGCCGTCCCAAGAGAAATTAAAAACAAAGCTTATGCAAATTTTTTTGGGTAAGGGGGAGTGGGGGGTAAATAAGGTGCATTATGAAAGATGTGCAACTGGCGAATGCATAATTACCGGTGAAAATCTTACCGGAATAAATTAAGGTACCACGAGGCTCGGTTGGCCAGCAAAGGTATCACCTGTGGATCCTCATCCCGTAAAGATTTGCTAACAACGACAGATAGCAACTGCTTGAACTCCTCAAAGCTCAGGCGAGATGCTGAAGACTGAGAAGAAAGCATAAATTTCAACAGATTTGTGAGGCAAGTGTTACCATCATTCTCAAAAAAAATAAAAATTGGAAAAATCAATAAAATGGGCTACTTCATTCGGACGTCAGTCACTCGTCAAGGAAATACATACAGTCGAACCTACGGTAAGCGACCACCCAAAATGCAAAGATTTAGTGTTCCCTTACGAGAACTGATCCGCATGGGCTCTCTTAATTATTAGAAGAGGTTTTAAGTTACAACAGATGTAGTTTCATGTTGTCACCTATCGTTCCTCGCTAGTGTAGTACATTCGGCGAACAAAGAGGTCAATCCATAGGTCAAGCGGTCGCTTTCAAGAGGGCAAAAACAACGGAAAATTCTACAACCGTCTTCCAAAAAAAGTTATCGCGCTTGCTTACAAGAGGTGGTCGTTCATGAGAGCTTCCCATCCTAATGATTTGGCTGGGAAAAGTTTGGTGTTTTGGGAGGTGGTCGCTTCCAAGAGTTGGTTGCAGATGAAGGTTGGACGGTATTTGGATAAGTTTGTAAGAGGAGACAAAACGGTTTTGGCGGCAAGACTCATTTACTTCTAACTTACCTCTTCGGCCCCAGGGTACAGAGTCACTAGCCCTTTCATCCAGTGCGCTTTGACGTTATAATCCGACCCAGATCTCCGCACTTCACTTCGCTTACGTCCTTTCTTGGTCCCATCTTTCTCCTCTTCCCCAATTCCCCCAACGAGCAAACGATGCCACAGCATATCCCGGCTGCAGTGAGTCTGGGCTCGACAGACCACGTGCACTAAATGAACACGTGCCCGCTGATAAGCTTCGGTTATAAGTCTGAATTCTTTTTCAGAAACACTGTCACATAACGAACCTTCGTAGGACGGCACAGCCAAGGATCTATTGGAACCAGATCGCTGTTCCATAATATTCTCGCCAGAGCGCAACGGCGCGAATGCGGCGGGAAACTGGAAACCGCTTTCACTATTTCCCAAGGCGAACAGGGAGTGGGGCGAGGAAGCTGAGCGATGGAACTCACCAGCGAAGGGAGAGTTTATAAATCCGCCTAAAGAGCCACTAGAACTGTTGCTTGGTAGGGTGAATCGAACACGCGGCCCTGGGGGTTAAACATGAAGACTGAGATTGTCTCACATTGTCGTGATGTACTAGGATGCTTGGCATTTACACAAACCATCCGGTTGGAAATAACACGTAAAATTAATATCACATTAACCCTTTCACTGCCAGAGTACTTGATGGAGTTTTGTAAGGTGACTCTAACTTTTGAGTCTGCGGACGAAATCTTATGACGTGACCATTCAAATGAAAGCTCTCTGCCTGTACTTACACATGGTGCTATTTATTTTTCAAAATTTCACAAACTGAAATTTGGAAATTTGGTCGAAATTTGTTTTTGGCTAAATTTGGCGGTGAAAGGGTTAAACAGTTAAATTTTACGTTTTGGGAGAAGGACCCCCTACGAGGTAATCAGCTGAAGAGAACAAGAAGAGTAGAAAATTTGCAAATTTGCAAATTTGCAACGACTTGAAAAAAAAAAAAAACAGAATCTTTTGCTTCAAGAACCAATGCGCTTCTAGTGGGCATAGTAATATCAATAGGAGAGGTCAGCGAGAGTATCGCTATTTTCTAAGGCTTCCCAAGCGGATTTCAGCCTATTATTTGATGTTCAAACCGGAATTTCTTGTTTTCTATGTGAAAAATAAGTACCCTGGTCTACCACACAAAATGACAATACATGAACTGGTACATGATGTGGTTAAAGCAGCCTTTAAGAACGGCAAGAAAACACGCGACACGAACAAAGCGCGGGAAAAATTGTAGGCGATGCTAAGCGCGGCAAAACCTGCAACCAACGTCAAGGGCAAAAAAGGCGACTGGTGAATGCCATAGCTTGCAATTGGCGAGACTGCTGAGAAGAGCGAAAACATTACGCTTGGTTTCGAACGCAGAATGCTGCTAGAAAGCTCATTTAAAGCAAATTTACTGACCTCTTTCAGGCTCCACTTCTCCATTATCTGGCAAAGATGCTTTTCTGTTTCCGTTCATGGTAGAGAGAGAACTTGAAGATGGTGACTTTTTCCTCAAGTGCAAATCCAACATCAGTTTAGGAAACAATTCACGACGACTCGTCATCAACACAATGTACTCCATGTTTACGATGCCCTCTTCAGAAGATTCCTTCGGTGACACGACGAACGTGATGTCATACTCGTAATTGTCTCGGAGAATGTCGTACGTTCTCGTGTCCGAGTATCTCTCTTGTGTAAGGACACGATCGGTGCCGAACAACAAGTGCTGCGTTTTTTCGAACGGTCCGGATTCCAGGGGAAGCGTCTGGAAATCGTAAAAGGAGGCGTTTTTCACCAGGTAGTTAAACACAGCTTGCGGAGATATATGGCTTGGAACAGCGACTTCCCCTAAAAAGGAAGCAAAGACGATACCGTCGGTTGCATCTAAGCGTGTTCACGTGACGAAAAAACATGTTCTAATTGGGTGAAAACATGACATGTTAAAAGTTTTGCCGCCAAACTGTTGCATGAAGTTTGTTGGTGGCGTTAGACGAATGTTCACTTGCAAAGTAGGAAGCTGTTTGTTTCGACTTGATTTGCTTTCGATCAACAAAATATTCATCGCAAAACGTTAACAAGAATTTCTGGAGTTGTAATTCTTAAAAGCAAGTGTGCTGTTCTGAGCGAGAATTATTAATGGAAACTGAGAAAAATAAAAGATGAGCGGAAAGCGCTGATTAAAAACACGTAAACAACTTAACCTTTGGCGCGACAGTTTGTTTAAACGGCAGTCAAACTAATGTTTGGTGGCAAAAAACGTCATGTCTGGCACCCTAATAGAACACGTTTTTTTGTCTCGTGTCCACGCTTAGATGCAACCGACAGTAAATAGGCCAAAAGAGCAGAACAAGTAAGAGAAAGTAGCTCCAATACAGTTTTGCTTAATTTCATCCATTTTTTAAAAGATCCACCTTACTGCCATAACGTTTTAAAACCAAACAAAAAATGCATATAACAAACAAAAAGACAATAGACTGTGAGCAGTCTAATAACATCGTGGTTTGCAATCGCCCTTAATGAGATCAAGAACTAGACGCATTTTATGAGAAAAGGCGGACTGCATGCAGTCTAAAAGACAAAGGAATTAATTAGCCATCGGTGGCATCCCCTGTTTATTCTGTAATACATCAATTATAACTGTGATTTCTTTTAAAATAGTTTATTCGCCTAACTAATCTTCATACTCAGAACCCACAAACAAACGAACAAACTAATAAACAAAAAAAGAAGAAAAAAAAAGGACGGAGAACAAGATTAGAAGGCAGCTAACCTGCGCAGACGCGGTTTCTAGCAAACAGTGGGCATTGAGGATACTCTTCCAAGAGTCCTTTGAGCATAGCAGTAACACCATAACCCTTGTTAAAGATTCTTTGGCTTCCATTCAAATATAGCTGTGCTTTACACAGATGAAAATCGTAATTAAACGATAGCAGATGAATATATTCTCTGTAGCGAGTGCAATCTTCCACAAACAACCGGCTCATCTGCATGAGAAATAAACGATCAAACAATACTTTTCAAATTCAAGATAAAAACAAATTCCACTTACTGATATGGTACACACACATTTGTTCAGTTTGCGTAACAGCACAAAAAAGAAGTCAATATAGACAGAAGTACAAAACAGCTACATTTGAGGGCGAAAAAGATACTACGTTTCGTTGAGCTACACACATAAAATCTATTAGAATTTACAAGTGACACTGATGGTTTTTTGGCCAACTTTCCCTGTTATTTCATGTACTTTCTCTAATGCAATGAGATCTGATAACTTTCTTTCCGTGGAATATTTCTTGGAGATCAGCATTGACCAGCTAGTGTCTAGACAAATGTCCCTCAGTATTGATTAAATTAATCAATTATAGCAAGAATACCAACCTGCACTCCCACTGCTTTCCCTGAAGGAATCTGTGAACAACCGAGGGCGTATAGTCGGACGATAAAAAAGCAGCCCTACAGCACAGACAAACGAAAATTAGCTATGAATCATTAGTTAGAAATTCATCACCACAGAGCTTAAGGGTTTCCTCGCGGTTACCATTATCTCATCCGTTCTTGGAATGAAATGACGTGTTACCGGGACGAAGGCGTAGCGCCAGTTTACGTTTGATCGTGATGTAAACCAAGCTCCCGCTGAAATGTTCCGGGACTTTTTGATCACTACAGTAAACACCCGCATTTAAGAACACGCGATTTCGGAGGTCAGGCTGATTGAGTTCTTATTTATCGGGCGCTTAATGACAAATCAGCCTCAAAATGTTCTTAAAATGTTCTTAAATTTTTATTTAGTAATACTATCCAAAACATGTTGCTAGAGGTATATTTAGCATATTTTAGGAAAATAAAATAAATAATTATTCTGTAATTTGATTATATTAACAAATGAAGTTATCAGCAGCAAACATAAACTTACATGTTTTGTAATTATGACACTTTTTCCATTTTATAAGAACATGCTACAATTTTCAGGCTGATCTTGTTCTTATAAAAATGGGGCTTTATTGGCCAAATTTCAGCCTGGTGTTCTTAATCCATTTCTTCTTATATGCGGGAGTGTATTTGACGGGGTCTCTGTTTCTCTTTGTGTGGGGGCAGGGCAGGGCAGGGAAGTGGGGGGGGGGGGATTGAGTGAAGAGGCTAAATTCCCTAAATTAGCCAGCCATAGGAGGAAAGACGGTCGTTTAATCATACCTCGAATACCAATTCCAACAGCATAATTCCTCCATGGGAGGACCTCTGTAAGTAGCACTGTAGAGTCTGTGAAGTCCTGTCTTTTCTGTCTTTAGATGAATTTTGTTTCTTAACGTCACCAGTTTCTCTCTTTGGTTTGGAGCTGACATTTGAACGGCCGTTATGCCTATAAAGATAAATAACAAAAAGAGAGGCGATGTCGCAAAATACGGCGACAAAGAGTATTCACACGACATTTCTCCCTTGCGCAAATATTGTTACGAAACAAGGTCAAATTCAGTCACTTTCCACCGTAACGTTTGGTAACAACAAGTCGAAAAAACTCCAATTTACCATTATAAAGTACACACCAAACAATAATTCACCCTTAAGAACCTTTTCTAACCAACACGTTTTCATTACTAAATCTATAAAGTGTTACAATCAGATTCAAATACAATATTGACGTCTGTTACGCTGAAAACTGGAATTTGCTCTAGAGCCTGGATAATATCTGTTGTATCAGAAATCAAAAGCAGAAAAACAACATCATCCGTTCTTAGTATCTTTCAAAGAGCCGCAGAGAGAAATTAAGAAGTATTTTAAAAAGTATCAAAAGTATAAATGTAACTGTGGGTTACCTCCTGTTTGGCTTGGGAGACTGTGGCCGAGTTTGCACCACAATAAACTGTAATGACTGCATGTACTGCACGTACTGCTGCAAATAAGCCGATCGTAATTCTTGATGCCAAGCCTCTTCGGAAGCAGATGTCTTCTCTTTTACATAAATTGCTTCTCCTTCCTTTATGGCTACGAGAGTCAAAAAGACAGAACTCTAAGCAAACTATTCTGTGTCAATTCTGGGAGAGCGTAGGCCTGAAAAGACTTTTGTCGACCGCAATTGACGTTTTGACGACCTGTGCGGTGGTCATCTTCACAGTCACCACTCAGTCACTGTCAATGACAGACTTATTCAGGATTACACCTACCCGGACGATCAGCAGTCCTTTACGATAGTATATAGTACACCATGCTCTACAAGGTAGTTCTAACTTGTGACCAAGGAAGAATTGTTAAAGTGTGACCACTTAAATGAAAGCTTCCGAGCAGTACTTTCTTGTGGTGCTGTTTATTATGCTGTACAAGATGGTTCTAACTTTTGAGTCTGTGGATGAAATTCCAAAGTGTGACCATTTAAATGAAAGCTACTGAGCAGTACTTTCCTGTGGTGCTGTTTATTATGCTGTACAATGTGGTTCTAACTTTTGAGTCCGTGGATGAAATCCTATGATGTGACCATTCAAATGAGAGCTACCGAGCAGTACTTTCCTGTGGTGCTGTTTATTATGCTGTACAAGGTGGTTCTAACTTTTGAGTCCGTGGATGAAATCCTATGATGTTACCATTTAAATGAAAGCGACTGAGCAGTACTTTCCTGTGGTGCTGTTTATTATGCTGTACAATGTGGTTCTAACTTTTGAGTCCGTGGATGAAATCCTATGATGTGACCATTCAAATGAGAGCTACCGAGCAGTACTTTCCTGTGGTGCTGTTTATTATGCTGTACAAGGTGGTTCTAACTTTTGAGTCCGTGGATGAAATCCTATGATGTTACCATTTAAATGAAAGCGACTGAGCAGTACTTTCCTGTGGTGCTGTTTATTATGCTGTACAATGTGGTTCTAACTTTTGAGTCCGTGGATGAAATCCTATGATGTGACCATTCAAATGAAAGCTACCGAGCAGTACTTTCCTGTGGTGCTGTTTATTATGCTGTACAAAGGTGATTCGAAGTTATTAACCTGTGGATGAAATCCTTAAGGGAGGCCGTTCAAATAAAACACCAAGCCATGTATGCTACACATACAAAAGTTTTCCTGTACCGTTTGCCACACCGCGCCCAGTGGTGCAGACATCAACAATCCAAACAACGCAGTGCATTTCAGGGTTGAAGATTGTGTCCTTTGTACAGTTCAAAACTGCTCTAATGACACCCTTGCTTGACTAACCTTCGCCGTGTTTTTGTTCTTTGCTGTTCTTCTTCTCTTTAGTCTCCTTTCTTGGCTCGTCACTGCAAGACTCCTCTTTAACAGTGTCGCTGTCAGATGCTGTGGACGATCTCTTTCGTCTCCAATTAGGATGAAATAACAATGGCGCTGCACAGTAGTGAATCAACCTCGACGAGCGCTTGAGCGTTTCAATTTTGTCTTCCTGTGTGCCGGAAAATTAACGAATTATCATTCCTTCAGCAGGACTCACAAAATTTATGCTACGTTCAGTTATGGAAAAATACACAATCAAAACGGAGAACGGGAAGCGGGAGACAAGCACGGGGAACGGGAAAATGAAAAACGGGAACAAAGCTCAGCTTAAACCCTTGTCCTATCAGTTACTTACAGTAGACTTTATTTGAGTGTCAAGGTATTTAGCAGGAAAGCACTAATTGGGGATACTATTTTTACGTCCCCAACCGCAGACGGGACAGCCATTTTACGTGGTCACCTGTGCCACGAGAAGATCTATCCGTTTGCAGGGCAAAGGGAGTACCTTCATTTCTCAGTTATTTTAAGACCTTGAGTATTGGTCCGGTCCAGGGAATCGAGCCCGCGACCTCCCGCTCTGCAGTCAAGCGCTCTACCGACTGAGCTAATCCTGCCGCGGTTAAACTTTATTTCAAATTCTCTGTTTTGTTCCCAGTTTTCATTTTCCCGCTCTCCGTGCTTGTTTCTCGCTTCCCGTTCCCCATTCCCCGTTCCTCGTTCTGGTAACATACATAAATCACTATAAAGGCTTACACGTCCAAAACTCGCATAATCAGTAGCAGAGTTGAATTTACGGCATTATTCTGCACGATTGGACTGCACCACGTTGCATTGCACTGCATTCTACGCAACTGCGTTGTAATGGATTGCATTGCTTTGTACTGCACTGTATAATACTACTCCCATAGGCTGCTCTTTAGTGGGAATGCGATTTGTAAGTGACAGCTTATGAAAGCTCTCCTTACAATATTCTCAATTACCACCCACAACAATGGTTGCGCCTTTGAGAGGTTTAACTCGCGCAAACTGTCGTCTGCAACATGCCAGGCTATAGGATATTAAATAGTCTTGCTTACGTTGATCTGGATATGAGGAGGTCTCCGAAGCCACATGATGTACAATTCGTCCAAGCTCTGCTCCAAAATTGCTCCTAAGTAAAAAAAATACATTTTTATCGTCTGTTTGCTTATTTAAAGCTACTGAACTGCTCGACATTCCTCTGGTATTGAGAAACTACATAAACAAACATCTTTTCCTCAACATGAGACAAAATGACTTTTGTTCAAGGGATGGTTTTTGTTGCTGAGGATTTAACAAGGGATTTTTCTGTTCGACATTCACGTTGGCGCGTTAAATGCTGCAAAGAAAATATTCCCAAAGAATGCGTTAAATTTGCTACAAAGTTAAGCACAATGGATGGCAAAACATCTTAGAAAGCAAAGGCGTTTACTTAGGGAAAGAGGACTTTGTGAAGATAGTATGAAACACTTAAAAAGACCAGCAATAACCAATTATCAACTACCACCGATTTAACCAAATGCAGCAATTTAGATTGACTTACTTTTTATTTGCCCAGACCGAATCTCCTGAAAAAGAAAAAGGCAATGAGAAAATTGAGATCGATTGAAATATCTTAATTCCTAAGAAGAACAATGCGCCACAAACCAGCTACATAAAACGAATGACAATAAAAAAGCTCTGCTTTGATCGAATACTCAATCAATCGGTCAAATCAGAAATCAAACGGTCAAGAAAGGAACAAAAGAAAAGAAACAAAAAACAAAAAGCGTTACCTTAAACTGGTACCCATGCCTTTTGACAAGGTCTCGGTTATGAAAGTACTGGGCGCAATGCAGAGGCTTCGGAGGTGTGACGTCTCGGAGCACTTCATCAAACACCAGAATGTTTGGAGATGGCGGCATTTGTCTCGGCATGGCGCGTTCACGCTACAGAATTGAAAAAAGGCAGATATATACACTATTTAAAGATTTGAATCAACTTTCCGCAGCGCATGTGTAGTCGCTACCACTTTTTGAAGCGGACACGAGCATAAGATAACAGGCCATTTCCGAGTTCCAAAAACTCTCACTTTCAAAACGACGCCAAGTGTAAAACCTTTGTTGTAAAAATGAGTTTTATTTGCACGAGAAGAAAAAATCACTTTGATGTCAATGGCTTTGTACTTAGCCTCGCTTTCAAACAGAGGCTTACAGCAACTTGGAGATGCCCTTTTGTCTTTGGTTGAAGAACATGTTTGAATGACAGAAATGAAAAACATTCGCAAACGCCAATAGTTTTATAAATCCTTGCTACTTTTCCCACTCGTCGCCGGTGAAATCTCGTCAAAGTAATATCAAAAACTGCCTTAGGTGTTTGGCCGCGGATGGACCTCAGTTAACACTTTTTAAGGTTCCCAGATGGAATATTTAAATGATGTGAAAGCACAAAGTAGAAATGGTGCGTTGCATCTGCCTTTACTTACGTCAAGAGGCGGTGGTCCAGGACGACTAACAAGCAAAACCATGTCCATATCATTGGCTGATAAACAGAACGGGTTCATATCCTTCAAAAAAAGAACAAGTCTCAGGAAACACATTGAACCTTTTATGATAACAATGGTTCAGATGACTGTTAGATGTGCTTCAGATGGCATTTGAATAAATGCCGATATGTTTAACAGGACCCTTGGAAGGGAGAGACCTCTGCAAACTAATCGAATGAACTGTTCCGTGGGACTACGAGGTCTCAGCAGTTAAGGTTCGACTAATTTGCTCGTTTCGATCGCCTTGGAACGATTTCGGCAACTGAGACATTCCGGACAATTATATACAAACAAAGCTAAGACACGACGGGATTGCAGACTTAATAGCCCAGAACAACAGGCCGTCCTAACCAATTGGCCACTGTACCCCATTTTCGAGAGGAGACGTTTCTATCAATTAATTGACTTTCAACAAATTACCTTGCCTTCCTTGCCTCTATTGATGTCAGCAAACAGAGTGTGATGAAACAGCCCCAGTTTCTGGCTCAAAAGACACGCGGTTAGATGACATCGAGCGTTACTCCAGTTCAGCAGGCGATGGAGTTGTTTTTCAAACGTGAGGTTCAAATCGTTGGCCCAGTTGTAAGTGAACGCTATCACCTGCAAGAGCAACAAATATGAATGAGTCTACCAAAACTGTGTTCATTAGAGAACAAGACCTTTATTTCTTGTGACCAAAAAAGGCCTCTCCTCGCCCTTGGGACCAGAAACGTGTCCGCTACACCCTCTTGTGACCAAAAAAACCCCGCTCCTCTCCCTGGGACCAGAAGAGTTACCGCTTCCGCCCCCTTGTGACCAAACAACAAAACCGCTCTCGCCCTTAGGACTAGAAAAGAGTCCTCTCCTCACCGTTGAGACGATAAAAAGTGTCCACCTCTCACCCTTGGGACCATAAAAAGTGTCCGCTCCTCACCCTTAGGACCATAAAAAGTGTCCGCTCCTTACCCTTGGGACCATAAAAAGTGTCGCTCCTCAACCTTGGGACCATAAACTAAACCTCAGCAAAGAGAGCCACCACTGCAAATCGGGCCTGCTGGCTCATGAAATCAAAGCCCAATGGATCGCTCACGGGAGATTTTCGTTAGTGGAAGTTCGACTGTAAAAGCACTTCATTTGTAACCCTTCTTAAGTAGGCATCTCTCCTAAGCCGTCACTTGTTCGTGGTCCCAGCCACGTATAAAGCATTGGATTTTAAAACTTTCTCTTTAAGCGGACACCCATCCTAGGTGGACACCTTTCGGGTCACAGAAGGTTCAACCGTATCTGCTCCTCTTCACCAGAATTGACATGAATAATTGTTGTGAAAAATACTACTAACAACCCAAATTTTCTTCAGAGAGTGATAAAATACAGGTTGTCAAAACAGACGGGACTTACGTCTTTGTCCAAAAGAGTAACAAGAAGAAATTTCTGCCTGGGTACTCCCCCTAGGGAAAGACTCGAAAGCGAGGTGGAGTCTGAAGGGATTCTGCCAGGAACTGGAGCGTTTGGATCAAGAGGCCTAAACCGTTGAAGACCTGTACGAACTGAATGAAAAGACAATGGTCAAATCAATAGAAAATAACGGGACAGATATGCCACATGATTGGGGGGTTAGGAAAGGGCAGGGTTTAGATTGAAGGTTACTCTTTTTGGATCAATATAGGTTTCTGGGAAACTGAACACCTACCCCTCCCCTAAGTCAACATTTTTCCCTAAGTGAGAAGTAAGCGATAATGTTGGCTTAGGGGAGGGGTAGGTGATAGTAGCTAAATATGTCTCAATCACAACCTCGCGTAGCGTTTACTATACTTCTTCATTTACCAAGTGCGACGTAGTTAAATCCTTTGAACCTGTGCACAAAACCGAATAACGTGACCATTCAAAAGAAATTCATCCCCTGATTCAAAACTTGTTTCAATAGGTAACAGACAGGTTATATCTCTGGTATGCAATATTTGCAGAGTATACCTACTTCTTGGCCGATCAGACGGTTCTTGGGACAAATCTGAAAGGAAACGAACAACAAGCAACGGTTAAAAACGCCAAAGGAATCACCTCCTGGTTGATAACATACCGGTGTTCCATAGGTTCAGTGAAACGAGGGTGGTACAAACTAAACTAAAAGAAGCCATCGCAAGGTGCTGTGGGATATTTAAAGGGCAAAATTTGACGAGACGCCACCTGGGAAATTCCTTGCTTTACCGTCAAATTCACTTGCCAAAAGGCGGACTTTTTAGAAATTAAACTATTTCCAAGGACACTGTTTTAGTTTGAAAAGAAGAAACAATAATTGATCCTCAAGGAGGCAACAGTATAGGGGGGTGTCCACACTTGGTGCCCGTGAAGCAGTGTCAAAATGGTGGTGTGTTCACACCTTGAGTTCCCGACATGTGACTACGTACATAGATGCCCCATTTTGCCCTGTCAGAGGCCATTCTGAAACATGTCCTTAGCAGCGAGTACAAAGCAGTGAACTGCCCCAGATATAACAAAACCTGTGTGCACACACTAATCCGGTGCCCACTTTAGTGCCACTCGGGCGCCGGCACCGTGCCTGAATTCAAGCATGGGTACAGGGTGCAAAGAAAGTCAGTTTCACAGCCTGCCATTCGGGCAGGCTGTAGCTAGCATGTACAAGCCCACAAGTCATTTCAGCTGGCCCCAAAACCCTTTTTGATTAGCACGATTGATTACAATCCTTCTGTAATTTGAATTTCCCCAAAAAACAGCACTTGCCCGTTGGGCAAGTTAAGAACTAAAATCAGTAGCCTAATAGCAAAATCCACTAGCCCCGAGCTATCGGACACGACTTTCTTTGCACGCTGATGGGTAGTTAAAAAGAGGGTCTGTGCAAATTGGTGCTCAGCGAATACCGTACTCGGGTACCGTGCTCGGGCACCGAGTGTGAACGCTGCCTAGGACAACCCCATGGAATACCTTCCTCCAGACCCAAGCTTGCACGCCACTGATCCACATTACGCCCGACCACAACAAAGAAATGGGAGGAGTTAGGCAGTGGAGCAAACTGTTTTCCGGATTCATCTGTAGTTGATTCGTCCACATCTTGTACCTACACAAGGAAATGGTAAGATAATAATAAAGCTCATAGTAACGAGTTAAAGAGATCCATCAACTAGGAGCTCAATAATTATAAAGAACTGTACTCATAAACAAGTAACCCTCTTCTTTCAACAGCAGATGGTGCTACCTCTCCGCAAGCGTAGACGAAAGCCTTAGCCATTGACTAATCCAAAGCGAATCGAACTGGGCACGTGAAAGGTTTTAAATAAACGTAAGATCGAGGGATCGAGAGATCGCAGGCTCAATCCACTTGGCATTCAGAATTTTTCGCCCGAAACGTCTATCGCTCGAAACATGATGAGCAAAACATCGTTGTCATTCAGCGTTCGAGGTTTTGTTTAACCAGTTTTTCCTAATCTTATTTTTATTGAGCAATTTCACTACTCATTGTCGTTACCCTTAATGGCTGTCGTGCTGGATAATAGTGCGGACAGTTTATTTCTGGCGGGTAATCACTCTCTTGTTCCTCAGGTGAATTCCTGTTGGGTAAAAACAAAAAGGCTGTTGAGTTCTTCCATAATCAATTTGCCAGATTCAATTTATAAGTTGGCAAACACCAGCTCTGTGGATGCCACTGCAACTTCAAAATGGAATAACTGAAACTAATGACAGAATTATTGGATAATGCGATTCTGGAGCTCTGACTGGCTCAGCCATCAAGGTATATGAGCCATTATACCATATGGTGACTGTAATTAAAAACAAGCTGAAAAATCGATTGCTTTTACAAATAAAGTCGGGAAAAATTCTGGATATTTTGTGGGCGTTTTTAATAAAAGAACTATTCCACTCGCGCTTGTTGGATATGAGAAGATTATCTACCATCTCATATCCAACGCGCACTCGTGGAATAATTGTTAAGTATCCAAAGCATTGCTATTGCCACCTTGAAGTTCCTCACCAGCGAGTTGTTCGGAACAAAGGGAAATATGGCATATTCCCTTTCCCATCGACGAGCTGCTTTGTTAAGAAAAAGTTATGACGTGCACTCCAATATGTAAACTCAAATCCATACTTATTTCAATAACACGACCCTTATTTTGAAGGCTTTCCACAGCAAGGATGGCGTAACCGCTGTATGTCACTTAAGTATCAATAAGGAAAATAGAACGTTTTTGAATAGTCTTCAAAATAACGACTTTGAAGCCCAAGTTGAATTTACGTTAAAAGTTATGGAAAGGGCTAGGGCCACCTGTTATTGATGTAACTGTTAAGAAAGACAGTTTGCTAGTTTATGCACTAAAATTTCTCGGAATTTTGGCGGGTGGGTGTGGTAGTGGTAAGGAAGAGAGATTAGGATAGGAAAGGTCTGGTTTCGACCCTTGGTTGCGATTTTCTTTCTTTTTAATGGAAACAGTCTCAATAACAGGTCAAAAATTTTTTAAGTGTCTTCAAAATGGCAGGGACCGTTTACGAAAGGGAAATTTGCACCAGCGACCCTCAGTTTTCAAGGCTTTTATGCACTTCATCTGTTTTCATTAACGAACAAATCACGACGAATGCACAGTACTCACAGAGGTGTTTCCCGGTAAATCTTCGGCTTGAGGTCGGGGCACAATGACGATATAAGGCTCACTAGTTCGCCCAAGAAAGCGTCTGAAGCAAAGTTGTTGATGAGCTTCCCATCAATGCGATACACCGATGGAACACCAAGGTCGAAGAAGAAGGCAAACATGTCTTGACCCAGTCCCTGAAGGCTAAAGAGAACAAAGCGGAACAAGTTAGAAGGCAGAACTGATATACTAGGGAGCTTAAGCAAAGACGTTTTTGAGCGACGCACGTCAACCGGAAGTGAGGCCTTTTCCCTTTTTATACGCCTGGACACTACCAAATTTGTATTGCTGAGTTTCTTTTCTCCCATAAAGACGATTTACCTGAGGGTTTCAACCAAACCACAGCCCAACGCTGCAAAAAGTCCACTTCCGGTTGACGTCCGTCGCTCAAAAACGCTGTTGCTTAAGCTCCCTACTTTAGAATTTGCGCGCACGCGTCAGGAACAATTCTGTTTACATGATTCCAATCTGAGATGCTGCACAAGATATAGTTCTCTCTTTTGCTCTCGTTGATGAGGCATGAATTTTCTCAAGATCCAAGAGTCCGTTTACGGTTTTGGAGGAATGAAATGTAGTTGTAACTGTAGTGCGATCAACTAAGCGGTACAATGTAGCTGCAACTTTTGTTTCGTGCAAGAAATCCTACGACATTCATGCAACTGTTCAAATTAAACCTTACAAGAGAACTCTAGCACGAAAGCACCTATTTCTCCGTTCTGACGCTTAAAATTTAAAAAGTCAATAAGACACCTTGAATGAAGTTCTCCTCTTTCCCCATTCTCAAACTGAATTCGTTTCATTCTCCTCTCCAGTTCTTTTCGTCTCCGTGCCTCAATATTCTGCCACGTCGTTGGTCCATCCGATGACTGTCCAACACTTGTCGATTCTCGTCCGTCTGGCGAAAACGCCTTAGAGCCACTCACGTTGCTTGCCGACGACAATTTCCGAGTCTTTTCTCGATCCGGCGAAGCAGACGCCAAGTGTTCCGAAACAGGAGTCCCAGGCTGTGAGGTAAATTCTTGGGATTCCTGTATTTCTGCTGCTGTGAAACTTTCAAAAGTGTGTTCTACATCTGATGAAGCTTCTGATTTGCCAGCCGTCTGAGGAGGTGCGAGGCCCGATTTTCTCTTCTTTTTTGAGCGCGTTTCACTGGCTGAAAGATAAAGCAGAAAGTTAGTGACATTAGTTATTTATTGACAGTGATCGGCCTTTGTTTTGGCTTTGCAGAGGTTTTTTTTTATCGATTCGAATCTTGGTTTTGCACGGCCTTCGCAGTCAAACGCAGCTTTGTTTTGGTAGATACAATAAAAAAGACCATGAAAGAAACCAAAATTTTTCAGAAACAGGTAAATAATAAATGCTTTGTTTGCAGTGGAAGTGCATTTAGCTGTGCGAGCCAGATTAGAGGTAACCGGAGAAAACAGCCGGTTTTGGTTGGTTTTCCCTCGAAATGACGTCTGAGTATGGACTGCAGAAATTCCATACTGATGACGTGTCACTACCCTGGACTCGGTAGTGCTTCTGATTGACCTTGTCGCGAGAGAAATTAACTTCAACCAGTCAGGAGCACTATCTCGATCTAGATAGCGAACGTCACCAATATGCAATTTCTGCAGTCGTTGCTCAGACGTCACTTCGTGGGGAAATCAGTAGAGGCGACGTGAAATGTCGGCTGTTGTCACAGCCTAGCTTAGAGACACTCTACTTAAATAATTTGAAACAAATAGTGCGAAAAGAACATAACACGATTAAAAACCCTAAAGAACTGGCGTGAGAAATCAGTTAGCTATTTCCAGGCATCACAGAGGAGTGGAACTTGGGTCTATTAAGAAACATATTGAACTAGTCATCAAAATGATTATGGTTGACGAGTTACGACATTCATGGAAATATTGCTGCGGAGGTGGCGCGGAAAAGAAGTCAGCGCGCCGGACTCGTAATCTCGGGTTCAAGCTCCGCTCTAATGAGTAGCTGAATATTGTCCTCGGTAGTCTCAAGTTGAGCTTCGTAGTCATGCTTGTAAATGGCTAACTCATTTGTTTACTATGTGAGTGGAGTTGCCGTAAACAAGCTACAAAAGGTGAATGCACTGCCATTAACAACAAAGCACCATTTCACATTATTTTTCCCATCCATTTTCCCACCTTTTCCTTTGTCTTCCATGTCTTCATTATCAGCAGACACAGCTTCCGTTTTGAAGACGTCATCTTCCATCGTGGTTTGCCTTGAAATAGGTTGAGGACCAGAAGAACTCCGCCGATGGGACAAAAAAGGATTCTTGGACACCCTACCTGGTCTCCCTGTGGATCCAGTCGGAGATAAACTACCTGCGGGCGGTGTTTTTCGTTGTCCCACAAGCGAGGCTGTCCTGCTTCGAAACCCACACTGACTGCCAAAATCCAGCTGCCGCCGGGAGGATCTTTCTATAGTTTCTGGATATGAGCCTAATTTGGGATCCTTTGGCGTTAGGCTCGAGGGTGAAGGGGGCTCAGAGACAGACCTTTGGCGCGTCACTGGGGCCTTGTAGTACTTAGGCGGTACTTTTGATAAAGGAGCTGTTAAGAGGTAGTACTCAGTGAGAAGATCGCACAGCGCATGTCTTAAGGACAGCTTCAGCTGCGTAGCGAGTTGATCAAGTCCAATGTCACCACGCTCCCAGATTGCAAACTGAACCATGATATCTTCCTCGGCTGAAACGTAACAAGCGATGCCTCAGTGAATACTAACCTCCCACTGACGAGCGCCAATATTATACAGTACAGACCCAGGTCATGAGTTAGTAATGAGCGAGCATCGAAGAAAATGAAGCTCGTTCCAGAGTGTTTGGCACGCTCTATGAGCTTGTTGTGATTTTGTTGTGTCTACTAAGCGCATGACACTGTAAAGAAGACCGCAAATGGATAAGACTGTTCACAGGCCACTATTTTTCTGTAAGACAGTAGAAATCGAGCGCTTATACCGTTACGAGCGGCTATCTTGGCTTAAACGTATCGAGTGGGCAGGCGGCAAGCTTTATAGCAGTAAGGGGAAAGAGGTGAGAAAAAAAGACTCCATTTTTCTCGCCTCCTCCAAAACCTTCCCCCGTCCCCTAAGTTGATTTAACCCTCGTCCCCAGGCTGAACTCAGTTCAATTGAAGCTAAGATGACAGCCCTTAAGGGTAGGTGCTTAATCCCGACGATCTTACGGACAAATCAGTAGGGGACTGTGAACAGTCAACAAATGGATTGAAACTGAGCTGCCTACCTAGCTGTCTCTTATCTTCACACAAGAACACCTCAGTCATCTGCTCGAAGTAGTCCAGTTCACCAACATAATTGCAGGCTGTCTTGCCACATGGGATGTAGATGTATCCACCTCGAGAGTTCAGTACTGACGCTGAGATACAGGCCAGACCTAAAAGAAGACACAAGGCGTTGATGGTTGATCAAGAGAACGAAGAAATAACAACACAAAACCTTCAAACCTTCGTGATTAGTGCAAAAATACTCGCCCACAGCTTGTGGTTCTCTAAGCACTTCTCAAGGTCAAAATTCTCGCAACAACTATTTGCTGGGATGCCTTACTAAGTTAAAATGCATACCGGCGGCCAAGTCCATTGCACAGTTCAAAATTGGAAAAATAAACTACTTGCTCGTGCACATCTGAGTTGCATAAGCACTTTCAGGGCGTTTTAACATCCAGTCGAAAAAATGGAAGATTAAGTCACAAACGGCACTTCTGGTCTTAGAACTTCCGTTTGGACTAGACAACGCACCTGGCCGCGTATACTACGCTTTACTATTAACCCTTTAAGCCCTAAGAGTGATCAGCATCAAATTTCTCCTTGTAATATCAACGCTTTGTAAAGCAGAGTGGTCATGAGAATTACGGACATGATCACACAAGATGAATTTGCTTGATATTTTATCAACTTCTCCCCACTACTTCTGTAGGAAATGAATAGGGGCAACAAATGAGAGTTCAAATTTTGATCTTAGGGTTTCAAAAGTTAATTCAACACACTTATTTTACTCTAACCTTTCCCTCCAGAACTGTGTGGCCGGTTGTACAAATATATTTCCGGCTCCAGTCTGCAGCTTTCAGCGCTTGTATTACCAGAGGCCTCTGTCTTGCTGCCACTCAGAGCTCTAAAATGATGGTTGGGGTTGTTGTCCATGTATCTTGGCGAGTGCAGAAGACTATGCAGATTTTGCCGTAAATAAAAAGTCAGAGGACATAGATAATTGACGTCCATGGGAGGGATTGTTAACGTGAGTGTTGTTTTGGGTGGTTGGCCTTGAGGCTGAATAAACTGTAAATAAAAACAGAAACTTCATTAAACTAAAAATACTTTTCTTATAGAGTTGAACCTTCTGTAAGCGACCATCCCGGAAAAATGCGAAGATTTAATGGTCGCTTACGCGAGGTGGTCTCCTACAAGAGTCAAACCACAGGAGTCTTTTTCGGAAGAGGTTTAATTTACAGATATCTAATTTTGGTAAAGAATTCATTTACATACGATTTCTAAGTTACAATATGTGCAGTTCCATATCGTCACTAAATCTTTTCGCATACTCTGAGTAGCGTAGTGGTGTGAATACTGCGACCATAGAGGTCGGACACCACAGGTCGTGTGGTCGCGTACCAGAGGTGATCGTTTCAAGAGGTTCCAACTACAGGCCTTTGACTGGGAAAATCTTGGTGTTTTGGTCAGATGGTCGCTAACGAAGTTCGACTTTATCATTGTAAAGAAAAGAAATAAATAAAGAAAGAAATACAACAGAAAACACTTCATTCAGCAACGTACCCGGACATCAGCGTAAGTTAATTTACAGTTCGGATTTCTTGACAGAAGTACTGACAACACTTCTAACATCGCTTCATTGATCCTGTTCTGTAAAACCTCAACAAGATCTACAGTGATCTCTGGGCCCGGATCATCCACGCCGTATACATGAAGTGCAATGCTTTTGTCCACCATGGGCTGAAGGGCATGCACGCTGCGCCCGCTTTCACTGGCAGTGTCTCGGTCACGATCAATAGCTTGTAGATGTTTCTTTTTATTTTCCAGCTTACTTTCCTGTAAGATAAAAGGTCCAAAATTCGCACATCAGTACGCGAGTTCGCTATCAAAGCCTTCTTTGAAGCAACTCGTGGATGCGAGATGCGATGCGCCTAGACAACACGCGTGAAATTATTCCCTAATTTCACTCGTGACCATTTGATTACAGATACATACCTCAACTTGCGCCAAGTCCTCTTCGTCTAGTTCTGTTATTCCCGCCTTAACAAGCGACAACAAAGAAGATGTCCTGGAGCCGGCCACTGACGCCACTGAGGACAAGCCCGATCGACAATCATCATCATCTTCATCAGGAGGGCGTAGTTCACATAGGAACGGGTTCCCATCTGAGTCGCTAGAGCACAAAGACTCGAACAACCTGGAAAAGATAAACAAAGGATTCAAGAAGGCACAACAGCAAAGATGCATCCTGCCTTTAGAGCCAGAGGCGGACGTACGTTTCCAAAAGCCGAGGCAGCGTGGCCGAGAGCTTAGAGGGCTGGACTTGTAAACCGAAGGATTTGAATTTGGTGGTTCCGAGTTCAAATCCTCGGCCATGCTTGTAAAATAGCCAACTGTTTCACCTCCTAACAGTTGGGATTCTTAGCTCTTTAATTTGTTTGTTTCATTATCCATGAAAAGCCCAATAAGGGGAGAGGATAATTAAGTTTTTTTAATAACATTTATTATTTTGAGGTCCTATTTAAACTTGGCAAGTGTTGCAAGTGTTTTAGTCAAGCAGGAAACCTTAGGATATGTGAAAGAGTTCACACTGAGAGAAAACCCTACAAATGTAAACTTTCTGAAAACAGGCTCCTAAAAGTGCCATCAAAGCATCATTTATTACCCATAAAAAGACACCTTCGTGCGTTTGGCAGTGAAAAACTGCCAAACGTAGTAGCCGATATATCGTAAACTTCCGCTTATAAGCCCCCTCCCCAGTAAGCCCCCCTGGATAAATCATTATCATCATCATCATCATCATCATCATCATCATCATCATCATTCATCTTTATTATTTATACACGGAAAATACATCAGGCAATAAATACTACTACTAATACTAAAATAACTATGGATAAAAGCGCCCTCTAGCTTGTATTGAAATGAATGCGATTTTTTACGACGTTTTGAAGTTTAAATTCAGAAAGGATTTTGATCAGCACTGCTACGCAGCTTGTTTTGAAACGATTTTTTCAGTCCGCTTTTTAAGCCCTCCTAAAACGTATAAGCCCAGAGATTATAAGCGGAAGTTTACGGTATAGAAATATAGTAAGATAGAGAAAGATGGACATGGTTAAGTGCCTCCTGGCGCGAAGGAAATGATGCTGAGGCAGCCATAAGTCCGCGTGAAGACGTCTCCTTCGTTGAATAAAAGGGAGCTTTAGCAACGACGACGGTGACGGCAAAGAGGACGTCAAAAAAGCAATAGGTTTTTTACGCAAAAACGTGCATCACGCTTTTTTGTACATTTCTTTACCGTCCTTGCGCGACTACGACGTGAAAATGCCTAATTGCAAGTTTTATGAAGGACGTAAACAAGCGACCACGAATCTCTTTTTCTCTCTCTAAACTTGAGTGCGGTCCTCAAGAAATCAACTCCAGGGAAATTCGCCTACACTTGCCATTTTCAGCAAATTGGAATAAACGCGACAAAGATTGAAAAAACGGGAATTCGTTTTAAAGCTGACGTTTTCGCTGCAGTTGCCGTCGTCAATGCTAAAGCTCCCTAAAGAAAATAAGAGACGCTTACACGCAGGCTGGGAGACCATATGGCAAAGAATCCACAACTTAAAAGCCGCCTTGCTAAAGCAGAATACTCACCTGAAGTAGAACACGGCTCCATCACTATCTTTGTACACAAACATGTCCTTTCTGTTGCTCACTCCAAACCTGTCCAGCACGCTCTTCACGGCCTTGAACCCTCGAGAGATCCCGGTCCGTCCCGGAGTATCCATTAGTCTCTGATGGACTGGTAGATGAGTGTACCAGACACTGTTACAGCCAAAGTGTCCGGGTTGAAAAAGAAACTGCACTTGAACGAATCTGGTGGTAACACGGCCTAAAGAAACACCATTTGATAAACATATAGAGCTTTACAGTCTAAGACGAGGACGACTACGAGAACGAGATATTCCCAATACTAAATAGTGCGCGCGCGAACTAGCGTCATTTTGGCGGGAAAATGTGGTAGCCGTCGTCAGTCTACTACGAGTTTTCGCGAGAATGTCGTACTGGCGAAAACAAGTTATTAAAAGTTAGTAGGTTTATCTTTAATTTTAGCGATCGGAAGAAGGCTTTACCTCCTTAAACGGAAATAAGCGTGCTAACTATTGGGGTGAAAAAGGTATATACAATGAAGCTTTCCGGAAAATAGGCAAGAACACTGTAAATGTCGTCATCGTCCTCAAATCTAAAGCGACATAACTCCAAAAAATCTAAATTCCACAAGGGCAAGCACATTTTCCAAATTCATCCCTCTTTTCTATCACTAAGGCGTTCTCATTGAATACTGCACCCAAAGGCTGATCAATACCCTTCTAAGTTTGCCCGACATTTGTCCAATATACCTTATGTGTTTTCTCACGTTTGCTGTCTATCCGTGCAATCCCATGGCCAGAAGTGGCACTATTTACCCGCTCAGCTATATACGCTTGTCATACACCTAGGCCCGATGAAAGCCCCATATGAACCCAATGTTTGTCCAATGTTAGCTACCTTTGCTATCTCCTTTGGTGATATGCACTCCCAGGGGCGACACTGACATCGTTAGTTCTTCGTGTTTCCAGATATCTTCATCTGATTCAGGAAACAACATTGAATTGCACACCTTGGTTTCATACAATTCCTGTAACAACATGCGCTAAAAAAAACAAACAAACCAAAGAATAGATCAGTTAGCAAGCTAGTGCGCAAAGGACCTTTCTCTAAGACAAAATGACACTATACAAAGATCATGCCAAACCAGAAAAACCACAAGGAACAGTTCTGGGGCGAGTTGCTTTAAAACCTAACGTGAGACGAAACTGCTAACGTCTGGAGTTAAACGAGTATGTTCTTGGTTGAAATCACCAATTCGTCAGGTTCCTTTACGGAAAATCCAAAACAATAGCCACTGAAGAAAGTTCCTTTTAAAGGGGGCATTTAATAGTCTCTCCTCGTTACTTGTGTAAAATTGTTAAGTCATTCGGTTTATTTACTGGTTAGCTAATTCTAGGAGAAGGTACAAAACTCAGATGCTTCAGCCCCAAAATAGACAAACTGTAATCACAGTTCGCAGGCATCGTTAAATGTATTCGGCTGCAGGGAACGGTAGTTTCCAATCCACTTACCTGGTTAACAATGCGGCACTTTTCGTGAATTGCGTTGATCACCATCTCCACCAAACCTGTAGCTCTCGTGGCACAGAACGCTCTAGAATCATCAGGCTCTCTACATTTAAAAATCGTGCCATATCCATATAAATATACAGCTCACTTTGTCACGAACTACTACTTAATGGCTGCTATTATTTTTCACTGAAATCCTTAAGTGTAACTATTCAACGGAAATATACTGCCAGGGCAGCACCCATTGGCCAATCGTGCGGTGACATTAATCAAAACGCTGGCTGTTAAAGCGAACAGTGGGAATGTTCTAGGCCCATTTGTTCGAAGGCCGATTGGCGCTTAACCAATGGTTAAATTTAACCCGGGTTTCTTTTTCTTTTATTCAAAAGCATTTTCTCAGATAATTTTCTTTGTTATTTCTAAGAGCATCAACGAGAGAGAATTCAATCGAATTTATTGCTTAAGCTTTCTTATCTGAATTCAAATTTCACACTAACCCCTGGGTTATCTTAACCCAGCTTTCAACAACCCGGCCTTGGGGAAAATTTTGCCCAAGTTTCCTGTGCAATTGGCCCTTTGCGGATAGCCCTTCACGTGGTACAAACCTGCCATACTTGAGAGCAAGAGAAGCACTAGGAGAAGACAAACAAAAGGCGTACATTATTCAAAACGGCAATTTCTTTCGTTTTTCTTGTCACAGTGCGTCCTCCAGCATGGTGGTTTTGCACCACGCAAAGGACTAGCTGCGAAGGACCTACTTTGTGGTGCAATTAAACACGACGCCGACCCACGTTCACCCGCGACCTCATTACAGGTTTCACCTGTAATGCTGATGGACTACGAGTGATCCGCCATTTTCCTCTGGCATAGCACAGCCTGCGAAACACGCGAGCGAGCAGGAGATTACAGGTAGCTACCCAGAGGAAGGTGAAGCGCAGGGGGCGGTTTTTACGCTCTCAAACACGCGAGTGCGCAAGACATTACAGGTAGCCACCACGAGGAAGGTGACACTTGGTTGGCGATTTTCACGCTTGCACCCATATTTCGTTCGCTCTACTATCCATGTAGAAAATGTGGGACTACTCGTGGTCTATGTTGATGAAAGTAGTTCAATCTTTTGGATCTGTGGACCAAATACAACGTGCCCATTTACGAATGACTATTGTTATAGTGTATTCTGTTTAGCTTGTTGTTTTCTTTTTGACGTTCAGTTTCCAGTACCTTTGATGAAAGAAGATAGTCACTTCATCATCAAATATCCTCATCACCACCCAAAACGGTAAGTACTCTTCAGCCAATAAGCAACTCTGATCTTCTTGACGCGGTGTACGAGGGCTAGGGGTGCCGCTATCCTCAACCACATCTTCTCCCCCAATACCAATGGATTCCGCATTGCTTTCCTCTAAAGAGGGAATTACCAGCTTCCCTAGGGGTGTGCTATTCGCTGACGACGTAAAAGAGGTGTCTTTTTCAGGCGTGCTTGGTTCCACTTGTAGAGGTTCCTGTTTACCTATGTCACCGAGAAGTGGGTGTTTGGAGGCCAGGGTGGTTTCACCATCTCTAGTCTTTCCGGGCCCTTCATCAGATATCGTGACCACCGGAAGTTCCATGGAAGTTTCGGAGTCACTACACTCTTCTTTCTGCGCCGTTTCAGTTTGTTCGTCTGAGTAAATAGCTAACAGATCATTACTTGTTGCGGCGAAGGGCTCAGAACTGACTGCGCTCTCTTCTTCTCCTGTTTCGACATTCACGCTCACATCGACTGAAGGTTGCTGGGTTTCCTCGAGGCTGTAACTGGCTGATTCAGGCGTTAGAGTCGTTGAATCGCATCCACAATCTCCTTGATCGACTGCTTTCTGCTCCTCTCTCTTAGCTTCGCTAGAGTCTTCTTCAGGTGCCCTTGGCGAAGCAAAGGCAACCTCTCTGTCGACAAAGCTAACGACACAGAAATGAAAGAATTGTTGGATAGGGCGATTGAAGTGTTTTTAAGTAAATATCACGCACAAGTTGTTAAAAAAGTGGATAGTACACTTCACGGGATAAATCATTTTCCACTGAATAGCGCAACTGATTTCCTAATACATACCCAATGGCGCTCTCTAGCTTTTGAACGACCGCAACCAGTTCGACATTCCTGCAAAGTGATCGCTTACCTAGTCAAATAGTAGTGCTTTTCCACTTTATTTATGGAGTATTCCGGCAAGTTGATTCTCTCAAATTCTTTAACAAACAGCTCCAAGCTTTGCTCAGCACCGTAGACAAACTGTAGACGCACATGACGCGAAATGCAGGATGGATGATCTTCACTACTCTGCTTAACATGGTTCTCGACTTTCTCCAGCATTGTACTGTTCACAGGGCCGATGTGACGGAGCTCAGAGACTATCTCATCCTGGAGAAGCCAGCGAATTGTATCACATGTGAGGTTTACAGCTTGGCGCTGCGAATGGACCAGACCGTGAAGGGGATCCATGCTTTCGATTCTGGAAATAAATAACAGTACAAACGACTTATTGACGGACTCAAGCAAAACTAGCTACGAGGGAATATCTGGACAACCAACAATTTGACCAAAAATAGACGACTGTTTAACTGTGATAACAGACGGATCGAAACGCACCAATGACATTACGAGTCCTTATAGCCAATAGCATCACGGCTGAACTGACAGACGACCAATAACATCGCAACCCAATTGACCAATCAGATCAACAACCAGAGTTAAATACCATCAACTGACTTGATACAACTCACTCTGACTCTGAAGATGGCTACAGCACAGGTTGTTGAAACGCCAGTCACTGTCAACAACAACCCTATTCGGAATTACGTTCACCGTGACAATCCTGCTCAAGCTACTAATGAAATAACTCCTGGGTTCAATCTTTCCACAATAAATGACAGTGTTATTGCACTCATACATTAGCCATTGCACTTTAGATAACTGGTTCGACAATTTTTTTGCCGAGGGTAATTGAAGCAACTAAGGGCGGGACGTTGAAATGGAATAATAAATCCCTTATTTGATGTTTAAGTAAATAAGATGTGGGGACATCTAACCTTTGCTGGAACTTTTAATACAACGAAATCCGTAGAATACCGTAAAATTCCGAAAATAAGCCCCTCCAAATATAAGCCCCCCAAACCGGTAACGCAAAAAACCCTCCTTTAAATCGCCCCTCCAAATATAAGCCCCCAGGGGCTTGTACTTGGAAAATTGCCCTCAAATACAAAGTAAAACAAAGCAAAAACGGTAAATCTACTTCCAACTATAAGGCTAGTCTAATCGATTTTGAAACGCAAATTTCTGTCCGTAAATAAGCCCCTCCAAAAATAAGCCCCTCAAAAAGGGCCTTTGAAAAATATAAGCCCCGGGGCTTATTTTCGGAATTTTACGGTACCCGTGCGTATCATCAAGAAGCTACATTTATAAATTACGCTTGTTCAAGATAAACTGCCTTAGTATGCTCTTTCTTCTTCCCTTACCCGTCAATGTCATGAGAGGTGGCTTTTGAATCTTGCCGCCTGAATTCAAACAAACCAGATCGTTTATCCAGAGGGGAGAGTGACACGGGAGAACTAGTGCTTGAGAAGGAATTGGAGCGAGAGGGGGCGCTTCGGGCTGAGGACTTGAGCACGGAGTAATCCTGTTCGGGAGACAGTGTCAGGCAGATGAGATCAAGGGTTATGCGAACCGAGGAACTGAAAGGATCCAAGAATTCTTCATCGTCTTCACACTTCCGGATGATTTCTCCTATGGGAAAGAGGATCAAAAATGTAATCACACGACTTCGTCATGTCGGTCGCCAACTCAAAACTTATCATACCGTTCAAAGTGTGTGTCACTTAATTGCTTAGCCACTTTTTAACCATTTTAGTCAGTGTTGCGAATTAAATGGTCGTTTGAAAGCAATGAAGTTGAGAAGTAAACAACAAAAATGCACATTACAGAGGCGGATCCAGGAAAGAGGAGGGGGGGGAGCGGTCATCCAGCCCCCGAGGTAAGGGGAGGCCCGGTCTCCAAAAATTGTTTTTTAGCCCTTCAGGGCTCAATTTGGTCTACAAATAAGGGGGGGGGCAGGTCTTCCGGGCCCCTCCCCTGGATCCGCCTTCCGTCCACGCGAAAACAGTGAACTCGCTCACCGAAACCCCATCTTTGTAAAACCTCTCTTCACAGTGGTCCGAAGACCCGTCCACATGAATACGGGTGAAAACAAATATACAGTTTCAAAGATATCCGGATTCGTGTGGACGGGGCCTAAGATAGAAAGTCAATGCTTGAGCTGAAATCCGCTATAATCATTACCTAAACACACAGGTAGCATGTTGATAGAAACAGGAGTCATGGGCTGTGTGTGGCTGCTCTTGTCTCTCAGCGAACATGTCAGCATTAAAAACAAGGGCGATTTGGAATGTTCCTCATCTTCGGCTTCCCCTTTATAACAAAGACAATAATGTGAAAATAAAAAAACATGGAAATTAAATTAGTCTATGCTAAATCAAATCATACTAGTTTTCGCGCGCTCGAGCCCTGTTATTACAGATGATAGTGCATTCTTCTCCAGTGGATAAGGGAGAGCAATTGCGTTATTCAGTGGATTAAGATTTACCCACCAAAGGCACATTCAACTGCATTTTCCCCATTTAACACCAATAAAGTAACTGCGCCCTACAGGCAACATCCGTAATCATGGAGCCCCTCGGGGCCTGAGGCCAACGGTACCCTTATTTTGACGACCTCTCAGCGCGTCTTCTACACGGAAAAGTAAAAAAAAAAAACAGGGATTTAATTCACACCTTGGTCTCCTGTATTGAAGGCTCCGCCCTTACCAACTTTGCTAATCCTTGCTCAGTAAAATGCTGGTGCTCCTATGACAACGCTGCCGCGTTCAATAGTCCAGTTTCGAATTCGTCGCGGCCGCTGAATAGAAGAACCGAAGACTCACTAATACAGGGTTAGCCTTAACATCAGGTAAATATATTAACAAATTCCAGTCAACCTGTCAGTCACTTGTATACAACTGTGTCCATTGTTTTAAACTCAAAATCTCGCCTGTATTTGTGGTCGAGGCTATCCCTGTACAAATGAGTCTTTGGCGCTTTTATCCAGCGGCCGCGATGAATTGGAAACTGGACAATTACAAAACGTTAAATCACTAACCTTCGGATTCTCTGATACTTCCTTCACTTTCGAAATCAGAGGAATCATCATCCATGTCATGAAACACACCATCATGGTCTATCAGGATCCCAGTACCTACATCCTCAAAGGTATCTGAACCAATATCACTGTCCTGGCCCTGAGAATCATCTTCGGTGACTACGTCAGTAAAGTCGGAAAATGATTCTGCGATAGACTAAACAAGCAAAAACAATTTGGTTAAGTGCTGGACTCACACTCAGAATACTAATAGAGACCTTTAAAAGTAGGTTAAGCATGATTGTTCGGGTGAATGTAGTCCTGAATAGGACTGACTGACGTTTCAACAACCTCTGCGGCAATCATCTTCAGAGTTAAAGTGAGTTGTGTCACGTCAGTTGATGATATTAAACTCTGGTTGTTGATCTGATTGGTCACTTGAGTTGCGATGTTATTGGTCGTCTATCAGTTAAGCCGTGATATTATTGGCTATGAAGACTCGTAATGTCATTGGTGCGTTTCGATCCGTCTATTGTCACTGTTAAACAGTCGTTTGTTAGTCAAATTGATGGATGTCCAGACATTCCTTCGTAGTTAGTTTTGCTTGAGTCCGTCAATAAGTCGTTTGTACTGTTATTAAGATACAACTCACTTTGACTTTGAAGATGACTACGAACTGTCAGTCACCGTCAACAACAGTCCTATTCAGGACTACAATCCCCCGTATGATTATCCTAAACCTATTTATAAAATGACTCCTGGGTTCAAACCATTCACAGAGACCTTTAGATTAGAGTACAAGAGCAACTACGGGGATGAGAATTGACTTAAAGGTTTTTTTTCGAGTATTCTAAAAAAAGGACACCCTTAAACGCTTCATTGTAATTTTTCAGCCGAAAGGTTGACACAGTCTTTTTAGGCCCTCTCCTGCCCACAAAATGATAAAAGTTCTAACATTTGATAACTTGTTTTCGCCACTACGACATTCTCGCTAAAACTAGTAAAAGAATGACCACAGCTACCATGTTTTCCCGCCAAAATGACGCTGGTGCACGCGTGCACTACTTGTTTTTGAAGGTCTCTATTAGCCATTTTGAGGTTGAGCAGTAAGCTGGCTCAGTGTTGTATCGAAGTGCACTATGGGATTGTTTCGGGGGGGCGGGGCAATTTTGACCCAGGTTCCTGTGCAACCTTGTAATAGCCAATAAAAGAAGCAATGGAATCTCCAAACCAGTCCCATGGTGCAATTCGTCACAACACCGACCCGATCCCACGCACAAACTCAAAATGGCTAACACTGCGCTTGAAGCCCATCATCTAAATATAAAGGGCGGGGTCACAGGGGTGCCACACTGTTAGGCTATTTATAGACTCCTCTTTTGCGCCAAAAAATTCTTAGCCAAAAAGAGCAGACTAGATTTTTCCACCAATGGAGGACGAGGTATAGGATCTTCTGTCTAGACGACCAACTACCACAGCGGAGTTTGCGGACGTTTATAATGATGGAGTTACGCGGGAAAACAAAGTCTTGAAAAAGAATTGAAGCCTAACATAATGTCACACCAAACCGTTTTGCTTTTTACTGTTCTCGTTGCCGCCGCGCGCTATCATTGTTGCTTAACCCCTTATTAAGAAGATTTCACACTTGGATCGGCGCCTACCTTTCTAGGCCCTTCAGACTGTTGAGGGCAGTAAAAGAAGTATTCTCCGCTCGGAGGAACAGCTTTGAAGTATCGTCCAAGTACTGACATAAACTTAGCTGTGATGGACTTGTGAAGCCCGGGTACAGACTCGCACTCTCCTAATAAGCTATCCTTCAAAATCTTAACACGTTCTCCATTACTGGCTGGAGGCAAGGAAATTGGAACCGACTGAAGCTTCTCGCTCGTTTGAGCGTCCCTGGCAGCTTTTCTATTCGCCATTTTCTTGACGTAATGCCCACACAGGGTATGGATAAACTCTGTGATGTCTACTTCAAGGAAGTTTTCCTCGCACGCATCAACCGCTGATTGGACGTCACGCATGTTCAGTTGTTGTCCATGCTGTAAACTGGTAAATGTCGATGACACAAAACTTCGGCAGAACAGATCATGAACCGCATTAGAGTGAAGGAGCAAGTCTTTAGAGGCGCCAAACCGTCCTTTTGTTCGACCTTCTAAAGACCTAGGGACCTCATCCACGTTAAACGGGTCGACGAAGATGCTGGCTGCAAATTGAGTAAAATCTTGAAAGATATCTTCCCGTCTTTTCGCTTCTTCTGGTGATGATTCCACAACAGACTTGTTGTCAGGTACCGATATCAGGGCTGATAAGGGGCAGTCATAACAATAAATGGGGATATTGAAACTGAAAGTGTCACTATCTTCACTTGCGCAGCGATCATGAAATACCGGCTCCTCGTTGATGGCCGTGGTTTTCTCTTCAAATGTGACACATTTCTTCTCATCATCACTATTCACTGAAAGCTCTGCTTTCGTCTCCTGAGCTTTAACGCTTGAACTGTCAGGTTGCGGGGAGAAAGCAAAAGTGCTTTCGTCTCTTTCCACTGTGGGTGTTGGAGTCAAGCTCTTATCTGCAAAGAGCAAAGAAGGTTAGGCCATAATGAAAAACAAGGCCAAATTAGCAATAAAAAATAACGTAGGGAAATACAACAACGCAATGACGTACAATACAATACAATGAAGCCATCGTGCAAATGGCCTATTGGAGCTGCCTTTTCAAGATCTGGACACTCCTGACAACCCAATTAAGTTTATAATAACGATACTTACAATAACAAAAAGGCACTCTTGGTTTAATTAAAAGTACCCTAATAATGACTTTCCAGCGAACCTTCTAAAGAGCCCTGGGTCATCAAAGGGCCCTGCTTTTGCGCTTCTATGTTCTTTTTGGCACTTTGATCTGGAGTTTTGGCACCGCTACCGAAACTTGAACTTCTGCTGCGTCCCTTCTTGCCCATAAGCTGTACGTGCTTTAAGCTCGCTGGAAGAAACGTTAAAATGATGCGACCGCAACCAAGACCAGCCACAGCACGAATAAAACACCTCCACTTCATCGACAAGGCGCTCTTTTGCCTTGACTTTTTATCTGCTCCAAGAATGTCAGCCACTGTGGATCGACCAGTGGATCGACCAGGATCTTCCACTTGACAGATCTCTTCTGGGAATGGTAACGGCACGCCATTTCTTCTCCTGCTTTGAACGTGCTGCGTGAATCGTTGCCAATCTGCCTCAGTGAGGGTGATTTCGCGATCATTCAATCGCTCCATGTTTTCAAGGAGGAGTTTGAAAAGGTTTTCATTAGGCGAGTCACTGCTATCAGCTGCAGCTGAGGAAAAAAACATAAAACAAAGTCACAGTCGCACGACTCGTCACCGTCACACCATTCGTCACAGCGCCAACACTCGTCAGTGACTTTAGACCAGAGAGTTGCATTTTCATCATTTTCTTTCACCACTAAAACGATCTCACAAAATTCACCACCGCACAAATTTTAGGACACGAATGGCAGACCATGTTGCAAGTCTCTACATTTAATGGTCCAAACAAATGCTGTTTTGCACGACATGTTAATTCGACCGAATGCTGGCGTCTTTTTGGTATCACGTGCTGCGTTATTTAGCGGCTGATGAACAAATGATAGTTTCTTGGTGTTGCGAACGAGTGCGAACACCAAATGACGTTATCATTCATACAAAATATTCCTCCGTTTCTGATTGGCTAAAATCTCACGCATAATTCATCATAACCAGCTACTGTTGACCAGTTGAGTTGCTTTCGAAGTGAGTAATGGCGGAACATTGTAATCGTTTCACGGCAAACTATTGTCTAAAAACATAACAAGAACAGCAAGAAGACAACTCGACAGACGGCATCTGCTATTTGGAGTATATTTGCAGAACTGAACAGCCCTTTATCTCCTAAACTTCCTGATAAAGATGCACTATCGATGTGACTTTAAGTTTAACATCGACGGAGGTAAGCAAATCCAGGAAACACTCCACATTGGCGAACATATCGGAACAATTAGGCGCAACAAGCATTAGAAAATTAACCCCGGTTTGTCGAAAGATAGCTTATATAGAGTTTCTTTGGCCTATAAGCACGCCTCATAGCGGAAAACTTAATTTTCAAGAACACAATATGCCGTTAGAAAGGAGTGCGAAATGTAAGGTCTAAGTCTCATAAAAGACCTTTTTTGGGGTTAAAGAATTCTGCCCGTGCAGTCTCAGACAAAGTTCCACCTGGTAACAATTATTTTATGTTCTAGAAAGTATCCCGAAAGTTATCACAGACATGGGTTGCGTATTTATCTACCTTGTGGTAATGTCTCAATGAGGGATGAAAACACCATCTCAACTTGTCGAGACTTTGGTAGTAGACCAATGACATCAAAGGGAAAGGGCAGTTGCTCTACGACCCAGTTACTGTGGATTAATGAGGGCTCCACTTTCGACGTCTTGACAATCCTCTGAGGAGTGGTGACAGTCTTGTCGTCACTCATGGCCCACAGATGATCATAAGTAAGCAGCGCTGAGACGTGTTTTAAATCCACTTGAAAAATCTGTTCAGAAGAAAAGAAAAGGCATCAACTCTTTCTCTCACAGAGATGGCCAATGTCAACTTTGAAAACGCTACTAAATTCCGTTTTGTAAAAGGCTGAAAAAACGAAAGTACTGAAAAGTACTGCCAAAGAGGTTTCATTTGAATGGTAACACCATAGGATTTCATCCACAGACTCACAAATTAGAACTACATACTAAATAAATAGTACCATGTGAAAGTACTGCCAAAGAGGTTTCATTTGAATGATTACACCATAGGATTTCATCCACAGACTCAAAAGTTAGAACTACATACTAAATAAATAGTACCATGTGAAAGTACTACTGAGGAGGTTTCATTTGAATGGTAATACCATAGGATTTCATCCACAGACTCAAAAGTTAGAACTACATACTAAATAAATAGTACCATGTGAAAATACGACTGAGGAGGTTTCATTTGAATGGTAATACCATAGGATTTCATCCACAGACTCAAAAGTTAGAACTACATACTAAATAAATAGTACCATGTGAAAATACGACTGAGGAGGTTTCATTTGAATGGTAATACCATAGGATTTTATTCACAGACTCGAAAGTTAGAACTACATACTAAATAAATAGTACCATGTGAAAGTACTGCTAAAGAGGTTTCATTTGAATGGTAATACGATAGGATTTCATTCACAGACTCAAAAGTTAGAACTACGTACTAAATAAATAGCACCATGTGAAAGTACTGCTGAAGAGGTTTCATTTGAATGCTTCCACCATAGGATTTCGTTCACAGACTCAAAAGTTAGAACTACATACTAAATAAATAGTACCATGTGAAAGTACTGCTGAAGAGGTTTCATTTGAATGGTAACACCATAGGACTTCATTCACAAATTCAAAAGTCCGTAAAGTTCCGAAAGTAACGACCCCTCAAAAGTAGCGATAAAACGTCACAGGTGTTACCAGACAGTAGAGATCCCCCCGAAAATAACGACCCTCCGAAAGTAGAGACCTCAAAACTAGTTTTCCTTTTTGCAAAAAAATAACGGATATGATTGATATTCTGAACAAATACCACACTGATCCGAGGTTTATTAATAGCTATTATTTGACATTCCTATTGATAACTATTAAAGTTTAGGATATACATTACCGTTTCTCAAAAGTATTTCTTTCACCTTTTTTGCGACTTTATTTTCTGAAGTGCCCATGTAGAGTACACGTTTCAGCCATCCGAAAGTAACGACCCCCAGAAAGTAGCGAGCCTCCGAGAGTAACAATAGCAGAGGGATGCTAAATCCGAAAGTAACGAGGGTCCTTAATTTCGGAACAATACGGTAGAACTACATACTAAATAAATAGTACCATGTGAAACTACTGCCCAAGAAGTTTCATTTGAATGGTAACGTCCGATCATCCTTATCAACATACCGCATCTGGAACCTCGTTATATTTCAGTCCATCTAGATATTTCAGCTCTGAAGGCAAATCAGTGAGTACCCCAAACTGAGGCTCGGCCCAGACCTCTGTCACCATGTTGAACTTTTGCCCCGTATTCCCCAAGGCTGGCTTTCCTTCTAATGTCCAGTCAGCTATTGCTTCTTCTCCTCGACCAGCTTCGGATGGCTGAAGATACGGAGGGAACAGCACGTACTGAATGATACAGGAGTAAAACTGGTCATCTTCTTTCGTGTGGTCCTATTGGCCGAATAGAAAAAAACAACAACTGACTTTACTAGGCCGTCAAAGCTTCTTGATTCTCACATATACAGGGCTCGAAAAAGACAAAAGTAATTCCCATAGATTGGAATAAGGAGTTTTTCCTTCCAGGCAAGTATTGTTTCATACTCTTTTGCTCATTGGGCAAGGACCCAGGCAAGTCCATTGTAACTAAAAGTAAAGACAACCATTCTCCACTTCGTCTCGTTTCTAAAGTATCCTATGCAGCTATCTGAGACAAGGAAAATCTGAGCGTTACTTGTCCAAACGGTAAGTTAGAACTCAAGTTGTTTTTCAAGCCCAGAAATACAATTGTTATCAACATACAAAATATTAATAGGCATACTTTCACTCCTGGAGTGGAAAGAGTTGTTAGACCTTATAAAAGAAGCTTATGGAGTTTCTGTCCACTTTATACCTCGAATTCCATAACGCGCACTTGTGCAATACGAAAACAAGCCTTTCCCATCTTTTAATGTTTAACTAGACACTGTTACATTCAGTAGATCCGAAAGACTTGGATAATCCAGTTAACATGTAACTGTCAAGTCAAAAATTCTCGCGTTTCGCGCTCAAATTCTGAAACGTGATAAAACGTGTTCGTGAAACGTGTTAGTGTTCTAAATATTACATAACATCGCACGCAAAGATCGTGTCATGCTAAACGATTTTTACCAATTCTTCCTACCTTCATAATGAGTTCTTTCGCCATCGTAATAATTCCTGCGTTGTTGTTCACAAAGTTGTACCCCTCCTGAAGTCGTAACCTAGAATACGAATTTGAAAATAAATTATTAAACTTGCAGCACCAAAAATTTAAACTAAGCAATGGATTAATCTTTACCAGTACATAACGCAATTAGTTCCTGGTGCTTATCCCGTCCATGGCACTATTCAACTTTCGAACAAAGAGTGATAACCGATGTATATATTCGGCTTCAGTCAGCCGATATATGTCAATTTTCAACAGCGATTTACGCTTCGCGATTGGAGAAAAAACCGTCAATAACTCCTTGAACGAGAATAGCCCCAAAAAAGACTCTTTGAGGTTCAAAATATATACGCTGTTAGCGAAATTTGCTTGCCCACAAAAACACCTAGGAGCCCCGAAGAAAGCAATTAAAAATGTTCGTGCGTGCCCAGATCGATTTTGAGTTAGGAAATGTCGGCTTTGAGGAGAGGGGAGAACCGGAGTTCTCAGAGAAAATTCTCCCAAAGTAAGGACGAGAAACAAGAGCAAATTCGACCCACCTATGGAAATAATAAATTTGTTTTCGTCACAAAGTTTAGAAATAATGGGATTTGAAGACAGGCAACATTGATGGGTGGTGTGTGTGTGTGGGGGGAAACAAGTGCTCTCCCCTTGTCTCTTGTCCTCACCCCCCCCTCCATGTGAATGTGCATACTTAATGAGTCCAACTGCGAATCAACAATTGAATCTGCCCTTACTTTGTAAGAGTTGACAGTACCCTCGCTACGTCCTCAGCAGGCACTGCCGGCGATCCTTCCTCTTGCGTGGTCCATATCCATCGATGATGGTGAAGATAGTGACACAGCACCTTCATGTGATTCTCATTTGTCCTGTTCGCATAAACTCCCGTCAAGCTCGGATACACAGAGTAATGCGGTCTCTCCGGGAAGGGAGTCAACATACCCTCGGGAATTTTTTCATACCGAACAAGGATTTTTTCCAGGGGTTTATCGAACATGATGGTACAAGGTTTTGCGGCCACTGCCCTCTTGTTTGATATCTGTGCTGCGCGTTGCAGGCTTTTTCCTTTGACTGGGGGTTTCTGAGGTTTGAGATTCACTCCTAGAGGTGCCTCGATCTTGGACAGCTTCGTCTTTAGATCTGAAACAATCTAGTGCAAAGGAAATGAAAAATAAAACGTGAATGATAAAAAATATGATCGGCAGAACAGTAGCGAAAAATTCATCCAGACTGTAAAATGAATACAAATCGTAATGTTTAGTTTATGCCTTTCTCGTTATTTCGAGTTACTTTAACCAAGTATATCAAAAACGTTGTAAGTAATGGAGGACAAAAAAATATTGTGCCACTTTCTAATCCAATCAGAAGTGGAACAACATCACACATGTCCAACTAGCCCGTATTTTCCCTCGCTCGAGGAGAGCTACCAACGGCCACATATAAATTTTCTCGAGTTCTGATTGGTTGGTTGCGTTGTCTTCGTCTTTCTGATTGGCCATGAAATATCGCTTTGGTCTTGGTTTCGCGACAACTGAATCCAGCGAAAACTGCTTTACACGATAACCAGTGAACAAACTAAGATTATCTCAATCCGGATTAACCTCATCAAGAACTAGCAGTTACAAAATAACATAACAAAACTTTACAGACCTCATGTCGGATGTGTCCAGGCGTTCCTCCAAGGAAAGCCACTCTGATAACAATACAAGGGCCTTTCACAGTGATTCGTGTAAGGCAGAAGGAAGACGGCACATCTTCTGGGTTGTTGCTGAAAAAATAACCGACTTCCACAGTCATGCGCGGAACACACGAATCTCCATTTTGGTGGGTCACCGTGTTCGTTAACATGGCAGAGTATTAATGCAGTGAGGACGACAATCTTATTTGAAGAAAGTGTACGGTGGAAGTAAAGAAAGTAGTAACTCCCAACTGGGTTGTCGCTCGCTACAGTGAAAACATTGCCTGACTTTTCCTAGTGGCTTAGCCAGTGACCTGGCTTTTCACACTTTCTACGGCGTCCTAAATCAGTAAATCACATTATTTTCTTTATTTTTGGATTCTCTGGGCTTTTCAAGAGATCCGGTTTTCTGGGGGGATTCGATCATCAACAGAACGTTTTCAGGATGAAAATGTCGCCATTTACCATATCTCGAAACCCTGTGCAAACCCAGAAGTATTCAAATTCGAAAGCTACTGCATCAAATTCTGAGCACAGTTGTAAACTTCGCTTGTAAGGGTCTTACTGAAATGTCCCTTGCTCAATTCTTCAATTCTCCACAATGTTGACAAACTCGGTGGTCCGCTGAAGTACAGATTTGTGCGTTCTGCGGCATGATCGTGAGACTCGGCTACTCATTTAAGCAAATTTTAGACACTCAAGTCGCCCACCTGGCCAAGGTAAGTGGGAAATTCTAAACGATGCTGCAAACTCCGAAATCACATTGTCAATACAGCCAACCAAAACGCGAAACCTAAAACAAAGTTCAGAAGTTCGGCGCCAACGAGGTTCATTGTCTCAGAAGTTGCGACCTTGCTGTTTGCGATAGCAAAACAGCGATATTTTCGCAACTTTTGTAGGATGCTGTTGACGCGGACCAAGAACGGCGTAGACAAGAAACTTCGAAAGGAGCAGGCTGGGTTTCGACCCAAGAGAAGTACAACTGAACATATATTTATCCTTAGAAACATCTAAGAGCAGGCAAATGAGTGGAGCGCGGGTCTGTATGAGCACTTTGTAGACTTTGAAAAAGCCTTTGACTCTGTACATAGAGAAATATAATATAATGAGAAATTATGGGATACCAGACAAGATGGTGAGAGTGATAGCGGGCATATACGTGGGCTTTGAGTGCGCAGTTGTCGATGGGAGTGTGACATCTGATTGGTTTATGATCAAGTCCGGGGTAAAACAGGGGTGCGTGATGTCGTGATTCCCATTCTTACCGTGCTTGCATTGAGTTATGAGGAAGACAACAGCAGACAAGAGAAGAGCGATAAGGTGGAATTTCACAACAGAGCTAGAGGACCTTGATTTCGCAGATGACATTGCACTACTGTCATCTAAGTTCAATGACTTGCATGAAAAGACTGGGCGATTAGCGGAGGAAGCAGAAGGACAGTCGATTAGGAGCCAAACAAAGCTGGGTGGAAGAGCTGGGAAGCAGCCTAAGGAGTTGCACAAGACAGAAAGTGTACGTCAGACAGCGTGGAGGCCTTATGCGCCTAAGGGCGCGATGAGACTTGATGATGATGAGTTTATGAACGCTGTTGGCGACGAAAAACCCAACTTCGTTTCGAGGTTCGCACTTTGGTTAGCTAAAGTTAACAATACAACTAACGGGTTTGCAGTATAGTTCCGAATTTCCTAGCGAACTTGGCCAGGTGCGCGGTCTGAGTACGCTTAAACCCATTAAACTGAACATGCTCTTTTGGAGATAGCCTGGAACAGGACAGTTGTGGAGGTGTTATGTTCAGATAAATTCGTCTTATATGGAATGGACACAAAATCTTTTTCAATTACTCCTGGAGTCAATTTAATTAAACTTTTAGATGTGCAATCTACAAGTGTAGCTATTGCTTTCAGACTCAAAAATAATAGCCAACTATAAAAGTTTTAACAAATTGGCCCCTGAAAGAACAGATTTTTGGAATAAGAGCGCTGAAGTTTGAAAAGCACGAATTTCTTTTCCTGAATGACGTTTTCGCCGCCGCCGCCGCCGCCGTCGTTGCTGCTAAAAGACTAAGTAAGTAAGTAAGTAAGTAAGTAACAACTTTATTTAATGAGGGTAGCACATAACGGTAAAAACTGATGAACTACTGGCCCTCAATCGTAATTAAAATATTTAGAACTATAACAAAATAAACACGACGAATTAAAATTTAAAAAATACTACAAGATAAGAAAAAGTGATATGTACATTAGAATAAAAAGATAAAAAGACATACATTAGACAGATGACAGAAAACTGATGAACTAGTGGCACTCAGTCTTAAATTACGAATATTAAAAACTACTACGATAAACACGGCGAATTAAAAATACTATAAGATGAGAAAAGTGATATGTACATTAGAATTTAAAAATGCGAAGACATTATACCCATAAGAACTAGGTTAAAAATATTCTTAAGAGCATTCTTAAACTGGCCAGCGGTGTCCTTCTTATACCCATAAGAGCTTGACTAAAAATATTTTTTAAGAGCATTCTTAAACTGGCCAGCGGTGTCCTTCTTTCGCATATCAAGAGGAATCCTATTCCACAGCTCAGCTCCACGAATTTTAAAAGTACGTCCCCCCCCACTTTCCGTTTCCTTATTATAAAATGGACATACCAAATCAAACCTTCCATAACGGCTAGCCCTGCTATCACTCCTGAGATCTGAGTTTCTAGGTAATACTTTCGTTATGTAGTCTGGGCAGTCATCTTCGTGTCTTATGCGCCTAAATATTAAACTACACTTTTGAAGGTTTACTTCAAGCACCCAACCTAAACATGGAGTTTGTTAACTGTTAACGGCACAGTACCTGGAGATAAATTTGATGAAAGAGTGGTTTTCCAACAAGACAAACGAACTCCAATTTCTGCAAAGAGAGGTCAGAGAGCTTAACGCCACTCTGCACTGGATTGCGCTGGAACGATCATTCTCCATAGGCAGATTTAGATTCTTTGGCAGAGGACTAAAAATAAACACGATATACCAATTGGTTACTTTGAGATCAAAAGCAAAAATCATTTCAGAAATATTAACAAAGCCAGACTTACACGTCATGATCCAAAACAAGTCCAATTCTATGGCAATGCATCCATCTTTGCCTGAAATTGCAGTAAACGTCCGCTGTAACTTCACAGAGTAGTTAACGAAAATAAGATGAATATGTGCGCCATTCGCTTAGAGTGACGTCAAAAAGATCGGATCGCCTGGTTAGCTCAGTTGGGAGAGCACCGGTCTGTTGAGCGGGAGGTCGCGGGTTCAAGCCCCAGCCGGACCAACACTCAGAGTCTTAACAATAACTGAGGAGAAAGTGCTGCCTTTGTAATGACATCTGCAAATGGTTAGACTTTCTAGTCTTCTCGGATAAGGACGAAAAACCGTAGGCCCCGTCTCACAATCCTTGCCTATATTAATACTGTGGGACGTTAAAGAACCCACACACTGTTCGTAAAGAGTAGGGGTCGTAGACCCCGGTGTTGTGGTCAACCTTGATATACGGATCCTTCGCGTGATGCTGTACAGGCTTTGCGAAGTAATATAGTAGAAGTAGAAGTAGAAGTTGGCAGGCTCTTTTCTCGCGTCATAACGGACAGTGTCGACATCAATGTCCACAAAAACAGAACAAAAAAAAGGGGGGCCAGTATCCAGTCATTTTTAACAGAGGACTGCATTTGCTTGATCTTGCTAGCTCGCGGAGATACATGTAGTGATAGAATAACGATAAGCAATTATATAAACGACAAATGACCTTTACGAGCCCTTCTTTTTCCTTTAAGGCAACACAATAGGTCATTTTCACGTTCCAGAAACTCTCACTATACAAACGAGGCTGCATGTAAAACCTTTTTCGAAAACATGAGTTTTATTTACATGAGAATAAATAATCGTTTTCATAGCAATGGCTTTGCACACAGCCTCGCTTTGAAACAGAGGCTTGAGGTAACTCGGGCATGGCCCATTGCGTAAACCCCTTAGAGCGACAACATTCTTATCCACATATGAAGAGAGTATTGCTCAAACACTGAACATATTTAAAAGAATAGAATGTGATTTGATGACTCACCACCCTGTTGTATCAACAGATAGCACTGGCTTCCAGAACACTGCAAACTGAGACTCGGGTGATTTGGAACTTTTTCTAAAGATGAAACAAAAATGGTTACGTAAATGCTAGACCGCATTACCTGTATTATCAATGCAGATCATTCCCCCACTTGTGAAAATTATATATCGCTCTTAAGGTCGTTGATAATTCAAGAAAAGAAAGGAAGGTAAAAACTAAAAGAATACCGTAAAAAATGGCTGCCAACGAGTATGACTCGGAATTGGAATTTCTTTTCCAATTATTGATCATTTGAGAAACCTACATCAAACGCTCAACACTTTTTCATCGGATATACACAACTTCTCGCAGTTTCTCTATCGGAGGCTGTGTTTCCTGTCCTTAGTTGAACAAAGTCAGCAACATCTCTTACTAATCGACCAAAAGTTGGTACGGTTCAAAGACACACAACCTTTTTCTTTGGCATTTTCAAGTGCCAAAGATATTATTAACAATGCTTTAAAAAGAAACCTACCGTGCATGTTGCAGTGATAAAATCTGTGAAAAAAAATGGAAATTTACTTAGCTCATATATAAAGAACTTTAAATCACAAGGCAATAGAAACTGATATATCATTAAGGAATGAAATCTGTCACGATTGTCTGCCTCTGAAAAGGCATTTCTGGGCAAGGAAACCGGTTACTACATCTGAACTTTGTTCGATCACAACTCAAACACCGGACCCCTAATTTGTAAACTCCTAAAACCTTGTTATAGCTTAAGAAAATGACCGACATTTCGCGTCCCCACCAATGGTTTCCCGCCAAATAAAGCCCAAGAAACGAGCGAAGCAATTCCATACTGATGACGCGTCGCTACCAAGAACTGGATAGTGCATATCATTGCTGACACTCTTGTCACGGCTGTCGCTGTTGTACCCATTGTCCCAGTTGTCGCTGTTCTCAATGTTGTCGCGATTGTCAACCTTGTCACTGTTGCCACTGTTGTCACCGTTGTCACCGTTCTCACTGTTGTCACTATTGTCACCGTTGTCACCGTTGTTGCTGTTGTCATTGTTGTCACTGTTGTAACCGTTGTCACCGTTGTCGCTGTTTTCACCGTTGTCAATGTTGTCGCTGTGGTCGCTGTTGTCACCGTTGTCACTGTTGTCAACGTTGTCACCGTTGTCACTGTTGTCACCGCTGTCACTGTTGTCACCGTTGTCACCATTGTCACCGTTGTCAACGTCGTCACTGTTGTCACCGTTGTCACTGTTGTCAACGTTGTCACCGTTGTCACTGTTGTCACCGTTGTCACCGTTGTCACTGTTGTCAACGTTGTCACCGTTGTCACTGTTGTCAACGTTGTCACCGTTGTCACTGTTGTCACCGTTGTCCCCGTTGCCACTATTGTCACCGTTCTCACTGTTGTCAACGTTGTAACCGTTCTCAACGTTGTCACTGTAGTCACCGTTGTCACTGTTGTCACTATTGTCGCTGTTGTCGCTGTAGTCACGGTTGTCAGCTTTCTCACCGTTGTCGCTGTTGTCAATTTTGTCACCATTGTCACTGCTGTCACTGTTATCGCCGTTGTCACTGTTGTCCCCGTTTTTACCGTTGTCAAGGTTGTCACCATCGCTGTTGTCACGGTTGTGACTGTTGACACTGTTCTCACCGTTGTCGCCGTTGTCACTCCTGTCACCGTTGTCACTGTTGTCGCTTTTGTCACGGTTGTCACCATTGTCGCTGTTGTCACAGTTGTCACCGTTGTCCCTATTATCGCTGTTGTCACCGTTGTCGCTCTTGTAGCTGTTGACACCCTTGCCACTGTTGTCACTGTTGTCGCTGTTGTCAGTGTTATCGCTGTTGTCCGTTTTGTCACTTTTGTCACCGTTGTCACTGTTGTCAACATTGTCACCGTTGTCACCGTTGTCGCTGTTGTCAACGTTGTCACCGATGTCACTGTACTCAACGTTGTCACTGTCGTCAACGTTGTCACTGTTGTCTCCGTTGTCACCGTTCTCACTGTTGTCACTGTTGTCAACGTTGTCACCGTTGTCACCGTTGTCACCGTTGTCGCTATTGTCAATGTTGTCACCGTTGTCACTGTTGTCAACGTTGTCACTATTGTCACCATTGTCACTGTTGTGACGTTGTCACCGTTTTCAGTTTTGTCAACGTTGTCACGGTTGTCACTGTTGTCAACGTTGTCACCGTTGTCACTGTTGTCACAGTTGTCACCGTTGTCGCTGTTGTCAACGTTCTCACCGTTGTCAATGTTGTCACCGTTGTCACTGTTGTCAACGTTGTCACTATTGTCACCATTGTCACTGTTGTGACGTTGTCACCGTTTTCAGTGTTGTCAACGTTGTCACGGTTGTCACTGTTGTCAACGTTGTCACCGTTGTCACTGTTGTCACAGTTGTCACCGTTGTCGCTGTTGTCAACGTTCTCACCGTTGTCAATGTTGTCAACGTTGTCACTGTTGTCAACGTTGTCACCGTTGTCACTGTTGTCAATGTTTTCACCGTTGACGCTGTTCTCAACGTCGTCACCTTTGTCGCTGTTGTCACTGTTGTCACTGTTGTTACCCTTCTTACGGTTGTCACCGTTGTCACCGTTGTCATCGTTGTCACCGTTGTGAGCGTTGTCGCTGTTGTCAACGTTGTCACCGTTGTCACTGTTTTCACCGTTGTCGCTGTTGTCAACGTTATTACCGTTCTCACTGTTGTCACCGTTGTCACTGTTGTCACCGTTATCAATGTTATCAACGTTGTCACCGTTGTCACTGTTGTCACCGTTGTCAAAGTTGTCACTGTTGTCAACGTTGTCACTGTTGTCAACGTTGTCACGGTTGTCACTGTTGTCAACGATGTCCCCGTTGTCACTGCTCTCACCATTGTCACTGTTGTCAACGTTGTCACAGTTGTCACTGCTGTCACCGTTGTCACTGTTGTCACCGTTGTCACTGTTGTCACCGTTGTCAACGTTGTCACTGTTGTCAACGTTGTCACCGTTCTCATTGTTGTCAACGTTGTCACTGTTGTCACCGTTGTAACTGTTGTAACGTTGTCACCGTTCTCAGTGTTGTCACCGCTGTCACCGTTGTCACTGTTGTCAACGATGTCACCGTTGTCACTGCTGTCACCGTTGTTACAGTTGTCAACGTTGTCCTCGGTTGTCACTGCTGTCACCGTTGTCACCGTTGTCACTGTTGTCACCGTTGTCACCGTGGTAACTGTTGTAAACGTTGTCACTTTTGTCACCGTTGTCACCGATGTCACTGTTGTCAACGCTGTCACCATTGTCGCTGTTGTCAACGTTGTCACCGTTGTCATTGTTGTCAACGTTGTCACTGTTGTCACCGTTGTCACTATCGTAACGTTGTCACCGTTGTCAGTGTTGGCAACGCTGCCACCGTTGTCCCTGTTGTCAACAGGGACTTTAAGATAGGTCACAACGGTAGGCTGGGACGGTTGGATGCGTATACGGGCGGCCTGGGGCCATGACGGTAAGAAGCCGCGAAAATTTTCAATTTAAGATCGGACAACAAAACAGAGGACGGTGAAGTCATGTGCGAAACTCGCTTGTCATTTCTTTCGCAGAAGGCTCAATTACTGAAGAAGAGTTTCTTGTTTTATACGAAGAATACCAATCAGAAGAATAAGGGTACAAATTAAAGCTAGCTAGCTAGTTTTCAAAACTGTAGTCGATGTTTTTATTTGAACTTTCCTTTCCTAAGCCAACACCTTTTGAGTTAAAGAAATCTTTTCTTGATAAAAAATGCAGTTTTAAGTTATAAAAAGACGGCTACAATCATCATTGTTAGGCCCAGTTGAAACGTCGAACTTCTCATGTGCCGAAACTAAAGCACAAATTACTAAAATTTATTTTCACTTGTTTAAAGCATTCTAGACCATTGAACATCCTGAAAACGAATCGAGTTCGACTTCACTTTAAGTTCGACGCCTGAGTCAACCTCGAACCATTTAGGTCGATGTAAACAGGTATTAAGTTCGGTACATGAAAAGATGAACATTTGAACTGGGCCTTACCTTTCTTTTCGGCAATTTTCCTCTGCCATTGCGGACGACACTGGGTAGAACAAGCAGTCGCCATGCGGCCGCGAGCTAAGTTATGAATGAACTCAGACATTTTCGCTTTTTTTTTCATTTCACCGATATGTAAATCAATGTAAACACAAGCCAACGCGTAATTAACCCAGTGGCTACTCAGTTTTAGAAGAAAAGTGACAATAAGTATGCATGAACTCTTATCGGTTTCACCGTTGTCTTCACGACGAGAAACCCGGCGAAAACATACCGTCCCAGAAGGACGACGGTAAAAGGTCACGCGTTTTTTGCGTGACGTGACATCTATCTAACCGTCCCAGGCGACCGTAGTGACCTATCTTAAAGTCCCTAACGTTGTCACCGTTGTCACTGTTGTCACCGTTGTTACTGTTGTCAACGTTGTCACCGTTGTCATTGTTGTCAACCTTGTCACTGTTGTCACCGTTGTCACTGCTTTGACGTTGTCACCGTTGTCAATGTTGTCACTGTTGTCACCGTTGTCACTGTTGTCAACGTTGTCACCGTTGTCACTGTTGTCACCGTTGTCACTGTTGTCACTGTTGTCACCGTTGCCAACGTTGTCACCGTTGTCATTGTTGTCAACCTTGTCACTGTTGTCACCGTTGTCACTATCGTAACGTTGTCACCGTTGTCAATGTTGTCAACGCTGTCACCGTTGTCACTGTTGTCAACGTTGTCACCGTTGTCACTGTTTTCACCGTTGTTACTGTTGTCAACGTTGTCCTCGGTTGTCACTGCTGTCACCGTTGTCACCGTTGTCACTGTTGTCACCGTTGTCACCGTGGTAACTGTTGTAAACGTTGCCACTCTTGTCACCGTTGTCACCGATGTCACTGTTGTCAACGTTGTCACGGTTGTCACCGTTGTCACTGTTGTCAACGTTGTCACCGTTGTCACTGTTGTCACCGTTGTCACTGTTGTCACTGTTGTCACCGTTGCCAACGTTGTCACCGTTGTCATTGTTGTCAACCTTGTCACTGTTGTCACCGTTGTCACTATCGTAACGTTGTCACCGTTGTCAATGTTGTCAACGCTGTCACCGTTGTCACTGTTGTCAACGTTGTCACCGTTGTCACTGTTTTCACCGTTGTTACTGTTGTCAACGTTGTCCTCGGTTGTCACTGCTGTCACCGTTGTCACCGTTGTCACTGTTGTCACCGTTGTCACCGTGGTAACTGTTGTAAACGTTGCCACTCTTGTCACCGTTGTCACCGATGTCACTGTTGTCAACGTTGTCACGGTTGTCACCTTTGTCGCTGTTGTCAACGTTGTCACTGTTGTCAACGTTGTCACCGTTGTCACTGCTGTCACCATTGTCACTGTTGTCAACGTTGTCACAGTTGTCAATTCTGTCACCATTGTCACCGTTGTCACCGTTGTCACTGTTGTCAACGTTGTCACTTTTGTCAACGTTGTTACTGTTGTCACCTTTATCGCTGTTGTCAACGTTGTCACTGTTGTCAACGTTGTCACGGTTGTCACTGCTGTCACCATTGTCACTGTTGTCAACGTTGTCACAGTTGTCAATTCTGTCACCATTGTCACCGTTGTCACCGTTGTCACTGTTGTCAACGTTGTCACTGTTGTCAACCTTGTCACCGTTGTCACCTTTATCGCTGTCGTCAACGTTGTCACTGTTGTCAACGTTGTCACCGTTGTCACTGCTGTCACCATTGTCACTGTTGTCAACTTGTCACAGTTGTCACTGCTGTCACCATTGTCACCGTTGTCACCGTTGTCACTGTTGTCACCGTTGTCACTGTTGTCAACGTTGTCACCGTTGTCACTGTTGTCACCGTTGTCACTGTTGTCAACGTTGTCACCGTTGTCACTGCTGTCACAATTGTCACTGTTGTCAACGTTGTCCCAGTTGTCACTGCTGTCACCGTTGTCACTGTTGTCACCATTGTCACTGTTGTCACCGTTGTCACTTTTGTCACCGTTGTCACTGTTGTCAACGTTGTCACCGTTGTCAGTGTTGTCACTGTTGTCACCGTTGTCACCGTTGTCACTGTTGTAACGTTGTCACCGTTGTCAGTGTTGTCAACGTTGTCACCGTTGTCACTGTTGTCAACGATGTCACCGTTGTCACTGCTGTCACCGTTGTCACTGTTGTAACTGCTGTAAACGTTGTCACTCTTGTCACCGCTGTCACTGTTGTCACCGTTGTCAGTGTTCTCACCGTTGTCACCGTTGTCACTATTGTCAACCTTGTCACTGTTGCCAACATTGTCACCATTGTCACTGTTGTCAAAGTTGTCACTGTTGTCACGGTTATCCCCTTGGTCACCGTTGTGGCAGTTGTCGATTTTGTCACCGTTGTCACTGTCGTCCGGATTGTCACCATTGTCGCTGTTGTTATGGTTGTGACTGTTGTCGCTGTTGACACTGTTGTCGCTTTTGTCCCTTCTGTCACCGTTGTCACTGTTGTTGCTGTTGTCACCGTTGGCGCTTTTGTCCCCGTTGTCGCCTTTGTCACGGTGGTCACAGTTGTCACCGTTGTCGCTGTTGTCACAGTTGTCACCGTTGTCACCGTTCTCGCTATTGTCGCTGTTGTCACCGTTGTCGCTGTTGACACTTTTCTCACTGTTGTCACTGTTGTCGGTGTTGTCGCTGTTGTCACGGTTGTCGCTTTTGTCACGGTTGTCACGGTTGTCACGGTTGTCACCGTTCTCGCTGTTGTCACTGTTGTCGCTGTTGTCACGGTTGTCACTGTTGTCGCTGTCGTCATGGTTGTCACAGTTGTCACCGTTGTCGCTGTTGTCACACTTGTCACCATTCTCGCTATTGTCGCTGGTGTCACCATTGTCATTGTTGACACTGTTCTCACTGTTGTCGGTGTTGTCACCGTTGTGGGTGTTGTCGCTGTTGTTCCTGTTGTCGCTGTTGTCACGGTTGTCGCTTTTGTCACGGTTGTCACCTTTCTCGCTGTTGTCACTGTTGTCGCTGTTGTCACGGTTGTCACTGTTGTCGCTGTCGTCATGGTTGACACCGTTGTCGCTGTTGTCGTTGTTGTCACAGTTGTCACTGTTGTCACTGTTGTCGCTGTTGACACCGTTGTCACTGTTGTCGCTGTTGTCGCTGTTGTTGCTGTTGTCACGGTGGTCGCTGTTGTTGCTGTTGTCACCGCTGTCACCATTGTTGCTGTTGTCACCGTTGTCACTGTTGTTGCTGTTGACACCGTTGTCACTATTATTGCTTTTGTCGCCGTTGTCGCTGTTGTCATCGTTGTCGCTGTTGTCACTGTTGTCGCTGTTGACACCGTTGTCACTGTTGTCGCTGTTGTCGCTGTTGTTGCTGTTGTCACGGTGGTCGCTGTTGTTGCTGTTGTCACCGCTGTCACCATTGTTGCTGTTCTCGCTGTTGTCACTGTTGTCGCTGTTGACACCGTTGTCACTATTATTGCTTTTGTCGCCGTTGTCGCTGTTGTCATCGTTGTCGCTGTTGTCACTGTTGTCGCTGTTGATACCGTTGTCACTGTTATTGCTTTTGTCGCCGTTGTTGCTGCTGTTGCTGTTGTCACCATTGTGACCATAGACCTATTCGGTTAATTCAATGTTGTACCCAATTCAAATCTCCTGGGGTTAAGATTCATTGTGTATTGTATTTGCATCATAATGTGGCATTCTCATTTAAATGTATGGAAATTCCTGAAACAAAAAGTTTTATTCCCAAAGGGTTTGAATTGGGTACAACATTGCGTTAGCCGAATAGGTCTATTGTCCCTGTTGTCACCGTTGTCACTGTTGTTGCTGTTTTCATCGTTGTCGCTGTTGTCACTGTTGTCGCTGTTGTCACCGTTGTCACTTTTGTAGCTGTTGTTGCTGTTGTCACCGTTGTCGTCGTTGTCGCTGTTGTCACCATTGTCATTGGTACCCAGATCTGAGTAGTGACACGTCATCAGTATAGAATGTCTGCGCTCGTTCCTGAGACGTCATTTTGCGAGGAAACCAGTGGTGACGTCACGAGATGTCGATTGTTTCATCAGGCTGGCCTTAAGAGCACTCATACTTACAGGGTTATTAGAGTTGGGTGGAAGATAGAACAGCGGAACTCCATTCTTGGTGCTTTCAGGTATGGTGTAATAACTGGAATTGGACGAGAAGGACTGAAGGTGGACCAGCATCTCATCTGCACTCTGCAAACTGAAACATAATTTCACTTTAACATGTATTCATCACTTAAGAAACGAGAAAACCGGGACGAGTTTACTTTTGCAAAGGCTTCTGGGATTGTTACTAGGGGCAACGAAAAAATTGGCCAATAGCTGACTGGCGAGTCCTCAGTAACAATCCCAGAAACAATTGCGCGACGCATTCGTTTTTAAATTGGCAAATGTCAAATGCCATCTTGACATTGGTGACCATACCGTAAAATTCCGAAAATAAGCCCCCCAAACCGGTAACGCAAAAAACCCTCCGTTAAATCGCTTCCCCCCCCAAAAAATATAAGCACCCCGGGGGCTTGTACTTGGAAAATTGCCCTCAAATGCAAAGTGAAACAAAGCAAAAACGGTAAATTTACTTCTGACTATAAGACTAGCCCAGTCGATTTTGAAAAGCAAGTTTCCATACGTAGATAAGCCTCTCCGAATATAAGCCCCTCCAAAAATAAGCCCCTCAAAAAGGGTCTTTGAAAGCTATAAGCCCGGGGCTTATTTTCGGAATTTTACGGTACAACCCATTGATTTGAGTTTGGTGGAAGCCAACAGAGTTAAATTTCGGGTGATACTCGATATACCAAGTCAATATATGCACTGCTGTGTCGTTCTATAGCCTGAACTTCTGAATGAGCACAGAACGTACTTAGAGGGAAAGAGAAATTAAAAAAACTCACGTTGCATGTAAAAGAGAGCATTCAAGCAAATTATCATGAGCAGTGAAATTTGAAAAGATTTTGAACCATACTTTCTCGTGAGTGATTAAAATAGACAATTACAATGGGCGATCTGTAGGCTGCAATGTTGTCAAATCTGGACTAGCCTGAGTATCAGGCCTTCCTAAGGGGCTAGGGGAAAGGAGAGGAGATGTTAAAAGGGGGAGGGGGGAGGGGAGGCGGGAAAGGGCTCCAGTAAAAGCGTCTGTGTCAGGCGTTCCTCTCCTTTCGCTCCCTCCCTTTTTCGCTTTTCTCCTTCCCCTTTTCCCCCAGAAACGCCTGATACTCAGGCTAAATCTGGACATCATCCTGACCCTTTATTCACTGAAGGTCAATAATATGCTATTTCACCCATCTGAACTTAACTGAGACGTGTGTTGAAATCACTACACAACACAACCTGTTTTTGTTACCTTTTCATTGTTTGGCGAAATCGTCGGACCACCAGGGTTCTGGAAGGGAAAAGACACACATCTAAGAATAACCCATGACGACAATTTCACAGTTAACGACAATAGACCTTTTTACCTGTACGGCGGCCATATTGAATTAATTCGATTTAAGGAGTATTATAGGATGCCCAGGGGGCATGAGCACATTTTGCTTGTATTTTCGAGCGCTCTTCGGGACATTTTTTCTTAAAGTTTTCTTAGAATAAGATTGTGATGGGAAAAAAGATCCTTGTGCCGGGTTTGGATGTAATAACGATCGCCTTTTTTGCCGAGAAATATACAGTGTAAGACCATATTTCTAATACTAAACTAGAAAAAGGCGATCATTATTACATCCAAACACGGCACAGGGATCTTTTTTCCCATTACAATCTTATTCTAAGAAAACTTTAAGAAAAAATGTCCCAGAAAGCGCTTGAAAATACAAACGAAATGTGCTCATGCCCCCTGGGCATCCTATAATACTTCTTAAATCGAATTAATTCAATATGGCCGCCGTATCGGTAAAAAGGTCTATTATCCATCATCTATTCCTATAAAACGCCAGGTCAAGCTATTTTTAGCTATTAAACAAAATGACTAACTAGTAATCATATAGAAACAAGGATTAAAATGAGACTTAAGTCTATCTTAGCAATCGCTGTCGTTACGATCGTTATGATCGATAATTTCGCGATACAATCGCTTCGATCGCTACGATTGCGACGATGGTCACGATTATTAAGGTTGTTACTACTGCTATGATCGTTACGATCGCTACAACCTTTACAATCTTTGTCGACTTATTTACGAAAGTGTAGAATGAGCAAGTCATTTTACCTGTAACCACTAGTGAAGGGTTGTTTGGTTGGATAAAGAACATCATGAAGGAACTCATAAGGTGCCTCTATTGTTACTTCAACATGAGTGATGCGGCTAGACAAGAAAAATGCAATTATGCACAATGAGCTGTAGACCACGAGAGGAACGCGCCCTAGCGCGAGAAAAAGCGATACGTGGTACCACGCATATTCAATCGCCTATCCGCACACTGGAGTGTTTCGCAGACTAAAAGAAACAAAAACACGAGCACAAGAAACCATGACGCGTGACACCACGCGAGTTGCATTTCCTCGCGTGACTCGATTTTTCATGCACTTGACTGATAGCGGTAACGTTAGCTTTACTCAATTAGGATTATTAAGAAATGAGGAAATTTAGTTCATTCGGGGGAAGGGGGCAGGCAGAGAGGTCTGTAACAGAGTTGACATGATTGACACAGTTAAGAAATTTGACCGAAGGAGACTGAGCACCGTGAAAAGCAAAATCACAATTAAACTTCCATTTACCGCAGAGAAAACGCATGGAGGGCCCCAAGAATTGGCGATTTTTTGGACTAGCATCCGGGTCAAACGCCGAACTTATGCAACGAACCAAAAGTTAAAACGTTAATGAGTGAAAACACTAGATTTCGCTCATTAGCAATATAATCACATGTGAACTCCAACGTTTGACTTGGATCTAAGGCGGTCATGTATAGGGCGAAGGTGAGAAAATAGAATGCCCTTGCCAGCTCACCCCCTTCCCCGAGTTGATATTTAAATAATTAAAAAAAACAGGACCTAATAACTTACTTGGTGGGGGTAAGAGGCCACGCCTACAAAAGCAAACACAAAATTAATGAGATCACCACAAGCATTTAGCCTGTGTACAGACCCCCCTCCCTTCAGGAAAAATCGGAGAAGGTTTCCTGAGGGAAGGGGGGGCCCGGACCAACGCTCAGGGTCTTAAAATAACTGGGAAATGAAGGTGCTCCCTTTGCCCTTCAAACGGGTAGACCTTCGCGTGGCTCGGATGACCACGTAAAATGGCGGCCCTGTCACCAGAATGTGAAGTAAAAATTAGAATAGTGTCCACCATTAGTGCTCTAGTCCTAAATACATCGACACTCAAATAAAGTGCATTTTTTACGAGTATTATTACCATGAATTCTACTCCAAAGTTGTTTCTACCACAAGGTGATACCCTTCAGAAGTGCTCATGTTGGGACAATACTACAACTCTTACTGTTTCTCCAAGCAAAGCTTTAGCATTTACACTCCGGATCTAAAACTAATGAATAGGAAATGGGAATAAGCAGAAAATATGGACAACGTGTGATAAATCCACTTACAGAAAGCGCCAAATATTCAATCTGCACGTTATGTTTCCAAGGGATGGTCAGCGTCACTTGTAGTTGCTTTCCACCTTAACGAAAGAAAGAATTCATAAAGTACAAGAGAACACATTGATTGGATCTTTTGGCTTACTGACAAAAAAAGAAAAAGAAAAAGAAACAAGCTGCGCTGTGAGCATTCCCAGACTTTGAGAGGATGTGATACAGTGCTAGTTCCAGGGCTAAAAAAAAGTCATTTCCGGTTGTCCGAGACTGGTAGGTAAAAGCACTTGCACCAGAGACCACGCCCTTTTCAACTGACACACTTTCTTGTACTGAATGTTAGAGACGCTGTGCTCTGCTACCACAAGGTATACTTTATATTTACCGTATATTAGACACTGTAATTTGTAGGCAATGTGCTCTGCTTACCTTTGGTTATAGACACGTCTTGAATTGAATATCCTTCTCTAAGTCGCACACTAAGAACACTGTTAATTGAATAAGAGTTACGAAATTAGTGACCAAATATACCTCTTTAAGGTTACAAAATATTATCGGATTAACAAGACTTGATCACCTACTTTCTTCACTGCAACATCAGTAAACACAGGACCTGATTTATAACTAAGTAACACTACCCGCAGTTTCCTTGTTTGCCACTCGCTCACAGTTTCGTAACTGGATAAATATCGTTCTCGTGTGTAAACGAATAGCGATGCTGATTCTTAAGCCTTCAAAGGATTGGGTAGACGTTCACAACAACTACTGCTTAAAAAATCACAATAAATTTTGGGGTCATGTAGCAGCTGCTTGGAAGAGAAGTCACCAATGGTGCCTAACCCTGACCCCAGACAATACTGAAACAATTGAAAGAATGACATGTTATTGTTTTCTGCGACTAATCAGGAGAGACCTTATAAGCAGCTCCTACACAACTGAAATTTTGAATTGCGCTGTTTGCTTGAAATTGGTAGTCCTGATGATAAAAGAGTCCATTTATGAAGAAGTGTAAGATACCTGGTGATACTGGTGTGAAGTTTGGTCTCAAGGTGCCTTTTACGCATTGACGGCTGCATCGCATTCTTTTCCCACTCACTCAGGGCATAGGACATTGACCTGAAACAAACATAATTTATTATGATATTTTCGACACTTCAGAGGTTTTGCAAAGAGACATTGTGGATGAAATTAAGATAAGCTGCCCTGTCAGCTTGGTACCATTAAAACAAAGTCGTAAAATGTGCAACAACTACAAGACATGATGATGGCTTAAGCACTAACCAAAACATCTGAAAAAAAAAACTTCCAAACAAACAGGTAAGCTTTAAACAACAGAAAAGGAAAAAAAGTCTGCATCTGTACAAAGAAGCCCGTCAGGCCAGAGCATAAATATCCGGATGTCCATAGCATGAAGTGATAGGAATGATTCTACTCCCCCTGATTCTAAACCATTGCAATGTTGTCCCTTCCCCAATATTAAATTTGCTGCTACCCATCCCATTTATACACCCCATGGGTGGAGTGAGGCACAGTGAGAGTTAAATGTCTCGCCCAAGAACACAACACAACGGCCCAGACCAGGACTCAAGAATGACCCTTGATGGACAATCAAAACCAACAGACCCTTAATCACTCATTACCTTTTGCCTTTAAATGCCCAGGCTAAATCCTCACTGCTCAATTCTAAGCAATCACCTTCAATCATAAAAAGGAAGAAATAAAAATTACACTGCAGCAAATGAAACAAAGGTCAGGTCTGACCTCTGACCTTTTACATGTTAGGTGTAGGATTGGGACTTATGGATCGGGAAAACTAACTACAGCTTGTAAAGCCAGCCAGTACAGAAATCTCGTGAGCTTGTAGAAGAGGTAGAGGCTGCTTTTGACAAGTCATGATTATGAATCAACATGTACCTATCCATGAATCAATCTTGCTTAGATCAAAGTCTCTTTGAAAGCTCCAGCAGAGAAGAGCCTTGTGGTATAGATTCATGGTGAAGTCCTCTGTAGAAAAAAAAGAACATGCAAAAACCAATTATTTATTTATATGAATAAATAATTAAGTTTACACAAGTAAGTAGGCAAGCAAGTAATGATTAAGAGCTAGCACATCGATCTACTGCTTATTTGTCTACCATTCCTATCTAATTTAAAATGTTGGTTTCTGAGGAGAGGGAAACTAGGTTTGAGATAAACATTAGCACAAAGACTTCCTGAGCATAATGAAAAAACAAATTATTCAAAAGAAATCTAGCATGGACAAATGTACACTTAGAAAAAGGAATCAAAAACAATATGTTAAAAGACATGTACATATTAAATGACAAAGATCATACATCACATGAACCATAATATTGCTAATGCGACTAACAAAATGTACAGCAATTCATTAAAGATTAAAGTACAATTATTCTTTTAACGGTGGTAAACAATAAATACCTGCTCCATCTGCACCCTTAGCTGCTCTGGAAACCTAAAAACAACACATCACTTTCTCAAACAAATGGCAAGAAAAACTTCTGTTGATCTACTGAGGTTCCCTTATCAAGTCAAACTTAAATCACAGGTTGGGAATCCTGTGGCATCTAGTACTAATCAAACTATATGTACATTGTATGAGTTAGCCTGCTCCAGGCATTCAGATAGTGAAGTGCGGCATGAAGTCAAAGAGCAAGACGAAAAAAAATAAGGAGAGAAAGAGGAAGAGGGTCCCCTACCCCTATAAGTTTGTCTACTAAAAACAATCAGGAGTCCATGTGCTGAGTTTAAATCCCAGGCTATTATATATGCTGAGTCATGTGGGGAAATTTTTTACTCACAGGGGGAGCGTTAGCAAGATAAGCTCCTGAGCTTGCCATGGCAATGAACTGCATCAGGTCGCAGTGTGGAACATAAGCAAGGCTGAGAAGAAATAAAAGACAATATTAGATCATTTTCACTGTCACGCAATAAACACGGTACAAAAAATAAATTGAAACCATCCTGTAGAAGAAGCCAAGAAAACGAAATTTCACAAAAGACTGATATATATAAACAATTTGTCCAAGTCTCAGGTCTATGTCGCCCACAGTTTCCGAGTTATTTGACAAAACGTTTCACACACCATTGTAGAGCTTTGCATGGAGACGCCATATTTGTGTACAGTTTTGGTACACAAATTGGATGTCTAGAAAAAACAGTGAGGGTTTCCAAGGTCTGTGTTTTTTAGACACCCCAAATATGGCCACTGGAAATCAACAAAAACATCTGGAGTTCACTTTTCCATAAAAGCTCTTTCTTTTCATTCCAGAACTAGCATACATGCACTTGAACACATCTTCTAATACTTAAAATGGTTAAACTCCTGAAAATCATGAGGAGAGGCTTTCATTCATATGTTGTGTCACACACTGTGAAAACTTACAAGTTCAAATTGCTGTATTTTCGAAATGAAACATGCTATGGCACTGGAAACTTGTACAAGGATTCATTTTTTGTTTATCTTCAACCTTGTGTAAATGAGAATTTGTAAAACCTATATAGCTGTTTTGACTTCACAATTTGATGACGTCAGTGCCGTGAAAACCATCTATAAAAAAAATGATTATTAAAACCATGCATTTAAACAGTAAACTTTTGTTAAAAATGTCAAAGAAAACAGTTTAATTGCATCAATGCATATGACTCACAATAATTTTAACTTAAATATTGAATGCTTCTTCTCTTAATTAATTAATTCAATTAATTACCATATTTTAAACTGGCTCAAACAAAGTATACTCGTATTAATATTATGTCATCCTTAAAAGAATTTATCATTTTTGAAAGCTAAAGTGTTCAATAAAGAATTCAATGTTTTGTGGAGAAATTAAATCAGCTAGAAGAGCTAGTTCATAATCCCCATGTAGGAGCAACATGAAAGTAATGCTCTTTCAAAAAGTAACGTTAATAATTCCACTTCTAATTCTGTTCATGAAATTAATTATGTGTATTTTGTTTTTTGTTATTGTCAAAAAATACAAACCTGCAGTGGGCATGAAAACCACTTCCAACTTTAATAAAAGAACAGCAGACAGTGCTGGCTCTGAACTGCGCCAAAAGAGAATCAACTGCTGAAGCATCCGGAAGTGCAAATACCCCATCAGTGATCACAACAGCCCCTGATCAGAAGCAAAACAAAGCTGATAGAAATTTATGCAAGATGGTTCTATTCTAACAGAGATGCCAACCTCTGCAGAACTAAAATCTGGAGACCCTCTCTTTTTCACTACTCCCCACACCCCCGAAATTTAATGAATCCTCCCACCCCTCCCCACCCCCGATAAATATGGGAATGACTAGGACATTATATGAAGTCTTACATGAAGTACAAACTATCAAAATTTGTGATATCATTTTGATGCCAGAAATAATCTTTGTCATGATCAGTGACTAAATAGGTGCAAAAACGCCCCAGAAACTGTACTACGAATAAGAAAATCCAAGTTTTGAGCTAAAAATGGGCTAAATCTCAAACTAAGGCACAGAAAAGCTCAAAAGATGATTTTATCCGGGACATATGGTGATCTGTATGGGAGACTGGGAGACTAGGAGACTGGGAGATTGGTGTCGTATCCGGGAGACTCCCGGATAATACAGGAGAGTTGGCATCTACCGTGTATATGTTCTAATGGCACCTCAAATGGCTCATTTGAATAGTCGCACCATAGGATTTCACTCACAGAGGAGTTCAAAAGATGGGAACAACCTAATGTATAAAATATACAGCATAATAAAAAGTACATGCAACAACTCACAGGAAACTACTGCTGAGTAGATTTTATTTGAAAAGTGAAGTGACACCATAGTAGTTTTGCATCACCTCAGTCTTTCATTCACAGATAATTATAGTGCAGAAGATAGAAAAGCAGCATTTTACATCTGCAGAGTTGTCAAACATAGCTGGCTGCCAGTGAAAACCACCAGCTACTTGGTCAGTATTGGCCTGCTACTCTGCTCAGCATTTCTTACGGATGGCATTTTTTAAACAAAATACTATTACATTATTATTTTAAATAAAATATCACATTATTCAAAACTTTCTGACAACCCTGCATCTGCCACATTTACTCTAATTTAGGATTTAAAGAGCTCAATGTTACCTGCACTTGCATTGCAGGGAAGCAGCTGAAGCGCCAGAAGAGTGTTCCGCATTATTGCAATGGGTCCAGCCTCGGGGGACATGAGCGTCACTGAATCCTGATGCCTCCCTCCTTGGTCACTTTCAGCTTTATTAATCTGAAAATGGGATAATCATGATAAAAAAAAATAATAATAATTCTACTAGACAGTACTCAAATGCAAATCCAAAATTCTGATCGGCTGATATGTATGCTGCAACAATAAAACATATGAAATCTAAATAAGAAAATCTCTAACATTTTATGGAAACCCTGAAGAGCACAAATCTTAAAATCAACATTAAAGTTAGCTCAAGCATTTTGCAGTTGTTTCCAGTGAGTTTGATGGAGTTCATACTAGTTAACACTAAATGATCCTTATCATACAATGAACTGCTGGTCAGTTGCTGCTCCGAATAGTTGCACATCTAGCATGTTTGTATGTTTTGTATAGTGAGAGACTTAGATACCAGCTATAAAGGTCCCTGAACTTCTTCCTTAAATAGGTTTGGGCAGGTCCATTCAGACTATCATAATCACTTTTAGGTCACCACCAAATTACAAAAATACAAAAACTGAGTCTCTAGACAGCCAAGTCCAGGAAATAACTATTCACCCTCCCCACCCATGAAGCTTATGTCTAGTCAATCACTTCTCCCAAGCTCTGCTAGTAGTGTTATGATATAGAGTCACAGCATTGATTTGGCTGGGCTAGCCCAAAAGAAAAATTCTCTGACTTTGCACTGCTTTCTGACTTGAAACTCTAACCAAAGTGACAAAATCTCCCCTCCCTACCCCCCGATTTTGACACAAAACAAGTCAGCAACCCACCCATGGATAGGTCTAGGCTTGGGCTCTCTGCTGACACCTAGAAAGATGGCAAGCCCCCTGGTTTTTTTCCGGCTACACTGGCTTGAACAAAGCAAAAACTGAGCGGGCACCTTTTAGCAAAATCACACAGATATATATATTTTTCTCTACACAAACTTTACCTCCTCACTGCCATCATAGCCATGTAATGTAGAGGTAGTCTTAGCAAGGAAGTCTTCTAAACCTTTCAGCTGGTCTTGAATTAGTTCTAGCACAGTATTTACATTCTGTTCTGTCACCAGACAACCTTGAATGAGAACCTTAATGGAAGAAGTTTAAATAATAAAAGGACATGATATTTATTATTGACATTCATACATATAAAAAATTATGCACAATAATAAAATGCAAATCTGAGAAGATGATGGGTATTGGAAACTTCAAAAACATGTCACTGATAAATGCATGGAACTTTTATCTCTTTATTTTGCTGGGAGTTAAAGTTCAATGACCATGAAACAATTGATTCATAGTGTTTGGATTACAAACTAGTAATAATATTGTTATTTTCAGCATTGCAAGTTATGCACATCAAAAAGTACCAGAAATTCACAACATTATATAGTTTCTTAATTTGATCAATTATTTTTAAAAAAAAGAAACAAAACTACAGGTGATGTGACACAAGACAATTCACAACGACGATTCTTAGCATAACACAGGGTTCAAATGTTGGAACAATGTTGCAAACTTTCGAAATGATGTTGCAACAATGTTGTCAGTGATGCAGTGTTGCACTAAAAACCATCGTTGCAAATCATCCAGTGTAGCATCACCTTAAAAGAAGTTTACAAAATTTTATGGTGGTTACATCTGTATCTGGCTGAACCTCCTCCACGGGAAAAAATAACGGATTCCCATTTTTGGATATTTTAGGGTATTTAAAGAATACCCATAAAAATCCCAAATTTGGCAAAGTGAGACAAGTCCCAACCAGCGAATTCCCAACCAAGTTCCCTGATTGGGACTTGTCTCACTCTTCCAAATTTGGGATTTTTGTGGGTATTCTTTAAATCCCCTAAAATATCCAAAAATGGGAATCTGTTATTTTTTCCTGTGCTCCAGAAGTTTGAAGGGGCAAAGGATAACTGCCTTTAAAGAGAGGGCAAAAGCTGGAGTGAGAAGGGTGTGGGCACACCCTATATTATGATTTCTAATAATAATATTCCCCCCTCCAGGATCTGCCCGCCACCTTTTCAATGCTGTCACACAGGCTAAAATGTCTTACACAATAGTGATCCTTTGCTTCCTCTTCTGTGTTTATGAGTTTGAAAAGCTGGTTTGAAGATTCTTATCTTACAAAAATTCCACAAATCAAACTACACAGACAGACACCTGAGTTTAATAAAAGGTACCTGTTCCAACACTTTTCACACATACCTGTGGCACTTCAGGATTTAAGATGGATGTATAGGCCAGCACAGTGATGTACAACTCTGGAGACAGCACAATAGAGTTTCCTGGCACACAAAACTGTTCAGAAATTGAAAAATAGATATCCCAGACTTTAGGGACAAAATTGCAAACTTTTCACGACTGCATATATAATTGTCTGGCAATTCCCAGCAGAGACTTGAGCACAAAGAAAACCAAACCAAATAATTATAGAAAAATGACCCGAAAGCCTTGAAGCCATGTTAGAAATTTATGCACTGTTCAATCCATTTGTTTGTCTTTTAGTTGCAAAAAGTAGGATACCGAATAATAGAGTTACTAATTATTAATCCACGGCTTTGATACAAGACCCTGTGTGGACAAAAAAGTACAATAAAAGAGGAAAACGCAAGGGCTAGATTTACCCCACTGGTAATACCATTGTCTATGTCTTGCCCTGGGGAGGGGAGGGCAGAGATTCCCAGGGGGTCTCCAGCCGCCCAGTTAGCTCAGTTAGATAAGCGCCGGTCTGCCAAGCAGGAGGCCGCTGGTTCAAGTCCTGGCCGGACCAACACTCAGGGTCAGGGTGCTGCCTTTGTAAAGACATCTGCAAATGGTTAGACTTTCTAGTTTTCTCGGATAAGGAAGATAAACCGTAGGCCCTGTCTCACAACCCTTGCATATATAAATTCTGTGGGACATTAAAGAACCCACACACTGTTCGTAAAGAGTAGGGGACGTTGTCCCCGTAAGGTGTGGTGGTCTATCTCTCATATGGGGAGGGACTGTTACGGGCCCGCAGTAATTGGCGTCATGCTGAACATTGTGGTGACCCTGCCAATAATTGGCAAATCTAACAAAATAAAAATAGAGGTGTTGACATTGGTGAGATACTTGCTAATGCTAAATATTAGCAAAATAAACATCAAACAGTTGACCAATAGGGATGTTTCAAGACTACAACTTAGCCTACTGTGACGGTTTTAGCTGTCGTCTCTGTTATGAAGATTCAATTCCTGCTATTGCTCCTCGGCAGATCATGAAAATCTCAAAAACCCTGAAATTCTGACATACCCTGGGTCAATAAGTTACATAAATCCCCTTCAGAAACCAGAAGGCAGACCAGGCATGTCCCCCACAACAGGTGCATAATAAAAAAAACATAGCAGTGAATACAGTACTAACTGGAGCAACTAGACCACAAAGGCAGTTCTTCAGTTTTTCAAATGCTTCATCTGTGATAACAGTGCCTGATTGGATATCCTAAAAAAACAGAAAGAATATGACTTCCATGCAAATTGTTCTTCTTTTTCATTGGCCGAAAGTCCACCATGTGACCTGCAAATAACTGCCTACAAATAATGGTCTGCTTATGGACATAGTCATCCAACTGTGCATACACAAAACCACACTTTTCTCCTTTCTGTGATCGCTCTTGCGTGAAAAATGGCAGATCGCTTTGCTTCCAGAAGATATTCATTAAGAAATAAACTTGGTGATCGAATGATAAAGCAGTTATTAAACTCGGTTATCGCAGATCAATTATTTGCCTCAGCCTTCAGCATCGGCAAATAATTGATCCGCTCACCACTGACAAATCAAGATAGCATTTTTGCTCAACCTCATTCACTTGTTGTTAATTATTAGTAGGTGAGCTAAACTCAACAGCTACAACTACAACTTTATGAAGTTGTATTGGTTCTTGTTTCCTTTTGTTTCCTCTGAAAGTAGCTGGAGATCATACTCATGTTAGCTGTTAGTAACACGCCTGGATGGTTACGTTCAAAAGGCAATAAATATTACTGACAGCATAACCTTACCACTGTGGCCAATGATGGGCTGATATCAAGGCAAAAAACAAATCGGTATCGCCTGCCAATAAAGGTGATATGGGTTGAGGGTACAAGTCTGTAAGGTCCTGGATTCCGTTGATTATTTGGAATGACTGACAAAACTTCCAGCTCTTCATTTGACCCAATCTACATGAAAATCAATAATAATGTTTACAAGTAAACAACTCCAGTCTATAGAATGCTCATGTGTACAATTCTCCTTAAAAGCAACAAAACAAAGACCTACAATAAATGGCATTTTGAGAAACACGAATTCACGAATTCAGACTGTACATGTATAAGAATTACCATAAACTGAAAAGAGGCATATTGCTATAAGAGTTGTACTTAACCCATCCAATTAGGCCTGTGTAAGACATGGTTCATACAACTTCAGACAAAAAAAATTTAATCAACTTCACAAGGAAGTTTCAAGGATGTAACTTATTTTTCAAGGACTGACATTCACTTCATTAATCTGCAACATCCTTTGCTCCATTTCTAGAAGAAAGAACACTTCATAAATACAAGTACACCTGACAGCCTTATGAAGTTAGATAGTTTTGGATAGTTCTTGCACATTAGTCTCTCCAGTACAATTTTCTAAAAAAGAGCAGGGTCGCTGGCTGTCTGATTTGCTTTTAAGTCTAAAGTATAAGAATGATCCAGATGAATCAAAGTTGTACAAGCCCTGCCCTCCTTGTGTTTGTAACCTGTCACGGAGAACTTTAGCATACAGTAGAACCCTTGTAACTCAAACTCTGAAGGGACACAAAAAACAGTTTGAGTTAGCGGGGGTTCTAGTTATCGGGGTCAACTGGAAAATTCAATTAATTTTGTCATGTTAAAAATTGATAGTTGCTGATTTTCAGCACTTCAGTATTGGTGCAATGCATATTAAACTTATTTCTTCAGAAACGTCACATGACAGCTGACATGATAAGGCATTTTTTATGATATACCATGATCTGTTTGTTTCAGCACTTAAATCAAATTGCTTTAGTTTTGACCAGTGTTAGAACTTTTAGTGTTTTAAACCTTCTAATGGGATGGCATCCGAGTGAAGTTAAGAGAACCAAAATTTCGAGTTATCGGGGTAAATTTGTGATCAAGGGAAAGGAAATTTAGTTCCAGTTAGAGGGGACTTAGAGTTATCTGAGTTCGAGTTAACCACGTAAAAATGACTGGAAAGTGGGGTGAAATCCAAGGGAAACTGGATCTAGTTCGCGTTAGCGGGGAGTTCGAGTTATCTGAGTTTGAGTTTATTAGGGTTCTACTGTAATTTTATTAATTTTTCCATGCCCATTTCTAAAGAAAACTCTAATAACCCCTTCACTATAATAAAATTTATAATAAAGTTCTTAGGAGACACTAAAATAACTTTAATTTAATTTGAAACTTACCAACTCATCTTTTGGCTTGGGGGAAGGGAGGGTGGAGTTAAATTGCTGAAAGAACCATTGTGCTCGAATACTCCTAGATATTCTGTACTCCTTTCCCATTAGAAGGAACACATCCAGAGCATCCTCCTGGAAAGAAAACAAACATAAAACTCACATTAACATGTGTTTAACGTTGTCATCCTGAGGATATTGGTACGCTTATGTCTTGGGGGGGGGACCGAGATCTCCATAATCCTTCGTATGATACAAAAGCCAAATTCACTAATTGTATTATTATTCATTCAAAATAATTCCTAGTTTAAAAACATAGCTAAAACATGCTTGCCTCCATCGATGTTAAGTTCATCTTCAATAGTGCACGTTCAGGGTTTTTCAGCTCCGCAAATACTCTCCAAATTGCAGATGTTGCCCTTTGAATAATTGTCTTCTTGCTGTTCTTGCCATATTTTTGCTATTATTTCGCCTAGTTCTGAGGCCCTGCCAGGGTAAATTCCAACAAGCGACATGGCCCAAAAAGTAGCAACAGCGCGTAAAATGAAATCGCGACAAGAGACGACCCCCCTCGGCCAAATTGCGACAGTGACAGCAAAGCCAACATTTATAAACAGCTACACGAGACGTTTTAAAATTCAGACGGGCGACATGAGACCCCCCCTGGCAGGGCATCAGTTCTTACTCTTGAAACAAGTGAAATTTCTGCCATTTTTGTTTTCAAAAACAAAACAACTCAACCTCGTCTCCAGGTCTTCTCGGTTAACGGTGCATTAATCTGCAAGAAGGCTGCACTTTTGACATCATCAGTTCATTAAACGAAAAATTCTTCCAAATGTGGTCATCAGTAGCTGGTTATGGTGAATTATGTGTGTGCTTTTAGCCAATCAGAGACGGAGAAATATTTTGAATGAATAATAATAATAAATGATGTATGATGCAATTACATGTATTAATCACAACTTTGGGGGCCGGCGCTTCAGTAAAATATCGTTAAAAGCATTAACTTTAAATAACGATAACATATACGTGAATTTTTGCCTATCAGTATTCCAGGATTGGATATCGAAGTTTCTTCAATATCATAGCGATATGTGTGACATTGTAATAATAAACGAGAGGAAACAAATTCGAAAGAGGAAACGCGCGCCAGCCACTCGTGATCACTTACCTCTCTTTCAGGCTCTTCTCCGACAAACATTATGTTTTCCTGAAAAACGTTACAAGTTGCCAAGTTGATGCAGTATCTGGAACGTTAACTTTTTCCATCGATAACAAAATAAACCAGTGCAGCAAAATGACTCAAGTTGTGTTACGCTTCAACACGTTTTCAACCAAAATCGTCCACCATGTTTGTTCGATGAATTCTCTTTTCATGGGTGAGTCCGCTGTTCAGAAACAAAACTGCAGTACCTTTGCTTCCAGTGTCACAGTGATATGTATATCCCCGTGATATGTGTATCCCCATACACATATCCCTAGTGATATGTGTATCCCGGGTGGGGATGCAATAAAAACTGATGCTCATCCACGAAACAATAAGGAAATATCTTCTCTTGCTAAAGGAAATATCGTCGATATTATCTAACATAACTAGTAACACAACCAGGGTTACGACAGGAATCAAACAACATGCAAACTTGGAATATTGTGGCGCTCGCAGAAGGGGTACACATATCACTCACCTGGCGCAGAGATATATGTATCCCCTGTTTTCTCTTCACTTGCTAAAGGAAATATCGTCTATATAATCTATCAGAACAACTAGTAATACAACTAGGTTTACAGGAATCAAAAAAAAAAAAGGTGGATTATTATGGTGCTTGCATGGGGGGATACACATATCACTGGACGAGCGCAGAGATATGTGTATCCCTCTCTATTTTTTGACTTTTCGAGTTATTCCTTGCTGAATGAAATTTTGTCAGTTATACTTATTTAACGCGACTAGTGACATATGAATTATAATCACGTTGGATAAGGAGAGGAGCGAGAACAAATGGTTACATCAACATTGCGGCCCACGAAGAAGTAAACTCGCCAGCAGAGACATCTTTGCCATTATTTTGTCTCGAATCGTTGCTCTTTTGTCGATTGTGTTGCTCGTAATCTTGAATCGTTTGTAGTCCCTTTGACGACGATTCACAAAATTCACAACAACAACAGAAATAAAACCGACACTTTTTTGGAGGGGTGGGGGGTAGGGGATACACATTTCACTGGCAGCCATATTGGAGGGATACACATATCACTAGGGATATGTGTACAGGGATACACATATCACGGGGATACACATATCACTGTGACACCAGTAACACTCGGACTATTTTCTTACTGCTACAAAACACTACGTATATTCTTTAAAGGATTTCTAAAACACAAAGTGCATATGAAGTGGTTCAGTTCTATCCTTGGTTTAAATTTTAGTTTCTTTTGTTTTTGGGTATGGTAATATTTGATAATGATTTTGAAACAAAAGAAAATGAAATTTAAACCAAGGATAAAATTGAACCACATCCGCCTCCAAATCTACTTGCACTCGATTTGCTCCAGGATTTTCCCACAAATTAAAAAGTCTCTTTCAACAACAGTAAGCTCCATCAAGCCTTACTGAGTAGTGGTAATGTACATGCAATTAACAGGGGTAAAATTATGCCATCAAAGTTACCGAATGATGGAACAAAAAGGTCAACAAAGCAAAAAACAAATAAAAAATTCACAAATCCAAAGTTTTTGTTTTAAGTTTCCCCCTTCACTTCAGGCTAACTTGTACAAGTTTGGAGAAAATCTTATCGGTGGAGCTGCCATCATGAGCTAGTGAAACAGGCAAACGGCATGGGACAATTATTTTTGCAAGCTTGCACAGGCTACTCCCCCTCCAAAATTTTCACCAATCTCGCGTAAGTGAGCCTGACAAATTTCTAGGAAATGCATCTGATAACATTACCTGTATTTACAGGCTGGCAATAAACAATAATAATTGTTGGATTGCGGCCTTTTAAGGGTGACCATCTGTGAGTCATTTCACTAGCCTTCTGTTTGCTAACCTCTTAGGTGCAGGTTTTGCTAACATAACAACGCAGCCATGTTTGTGGACAAAACAATACAATTTCAATTTTTCTTTTGGCAGAATTGTTTAGTTCCCAGTTGGGGGAAATACTTTTGTTCTTATCCATCAACATGGCCCAAGTGATGTCAGCTGCAAAACTGTCCAGAGGTGTACACTAATTAAAAAACAAGCCTAGGACTAGGTTCTGCAGTGGGGGAAAATTGGAAAAGGAGAAAAAAAATCAGCCAGCGAAATCAGCCACGCGGGAATTTTTTCCACAAATGAGCCTGGTCCCAGCCAATAAAAATCTTAAGAGCTCAGCCATTCACATTTTATTCAGAAAATGTATTTTGTATTACATCAACAAACTTGTCTCTTAATGTATCCTTAAAAGTTTTGTACCAATGTAATATCTTAAGCCGTCTATTAACAATCTCCTCATGAGATAAGCGCATCTCATTCTCTATGATCTTGGGTAGGTCTCTCCAATCCTTGAGATAAATAAATGGAGCCTTAAAAGTCTTCAACAGATTCAAAGGAGACATAGTATCTTTTTTACATCTTCCAGGTGTAACCACATCTTCAATCACTGGCACTGATCCATAAGAACAAGCTTCGTATATGCGATAGCATTCAGTATTCATTCCCACAGGATTGAGAGTCAAGTCACTGTTAGCTAAAGCATAACGGAAGTCATTCGCTGATTCAGCTGTCTCGGCTGGTGCCCAACTATCTCTTGTCTTCACAAAACAGACACTGTCAAGACCAAACTTATTTATAACCCGTTGCAGCACCATGCGAGAAGAATTGGGATAAAGAGTACCTAGAAAATTGCACCTAAATTTTCGCCGTTTTTGAGCATCAACAGACATAAAATAGACATTTGGGAAATTCCTGTACGTGGCTACTCCCAATGGCCACTGGTAAAAGGTTTTTGAATCGGCGTACGGGATGTCATAAACAATAAAAGCAAATTGAATAAGTCCGCCATGAATTTGCATGTATGGAAACAACCAATCATTTTCGCACCGCTCATTTCCCAAAATTACGACTGCTACATGACGAAGATTTGGAAGATTTTTAAGGGAATCAAGCCAGGTTCGCGCGAACTCAACCTTTTTTGGTTCTCGTCCGTTACCAACGAGCACAACATTTCTAGCTTGTCTTGGGACTTTCTCAGGAACAACGCCTGGGCCAGTGCGAAAGGTGAACCTCACAGTGCGAATCTGCTTTTGTCCATAACTCCACACTCCTCCAAGCCTCTCCTCTAAAGGACCCTCGAGGATATGCTCCCAAAGATACAACCCAATGGCCGCTTTCCCCCAAATTTCTACATCAATCGAATGTTGCGATGGTCTTGACTTGTACGCATTGGCAACTTTTTGGGTAGACTGCGCGACAACTGGTTTTGGAAATGCTGCTTCATCCTCGCTCGACAGAAGGACTTTAAGTGCATAAATTGTAAGAACTAGGTAAATGGAAGCGAGGAGAGCTACGGTCACCTTGCATTTTGAAGTCCTTGACATTTCATCAGATGGTCCGCCATGTTTTTTAAATACCATTGCGAGCGCGCATGGGGAAATGATACCATGACTTTGGGATCGCGGGCGCAGACATGGGGGAATCATTGACAAGCCACAACAAAAACATGAACAAGAAAACGGTGGTAAATGAAAAACTGTAAACATGCAGGTATGAGTAGATTCACCTGATGTAAGCCTGGCTATTTTTAGGGAAGATTCATGCTAAGATCGGCTTGATATTGAGACATACATGTACTATGATACAGCTGACCTCATGATGTACTAACTGTACTCTAGTGCTTCAGCCAATGTAACCCAGTGATCTTGCTGTAATTTCTCTTAAAAGGACGAAAAGTTGTTAGAGGTTTCATTGGAAGCGGTCTCAAGTCGTGTTCAGGAGCTAAAGGAATCTATCCAGGCATTTCTGGTCAAGCTTGAACATGAGCAGATGAACTGGTAATTTTTAAACACATCATCTAGAAGCTCATTGCAATTTATTCAGGGATCAACATTTATTGAACAACAAAACCTGGATCGGATAAACCCGTATGTTTCACTAAATGGCAAAAGGTTAAGGATTGGTTACAGTGGTTGATCAGAACCGGTTTGTTAAAGGTTTTGTCAATGGCCATTTCATTTTGAAGCTTATTGATATTTTGTGGGTGTAATGTCTAAATTTGTTTTATTATCAAATACCCTGCCATTTCGTTTGCATCACTGAAGAATATGCCTGCTGACTTTCACGCATATTTGTATGTGAGTCTCACACCTACAGATTTAAGAAATTGATCTCCCACAACAAGAAAAATTTCTCACCCCTGACACACTTAAAGTTGGTGACTGCCTTTCTTTACTCCTTGTAATTAAACAGTTGTATCTCAATAAGACAAACATCTCAGGGGCGGATCCAGAGGGCATGGATTGGGTAGCTAGCCACCCCCCTTTAGAACAGCCCACCAAAAAAGCATAATGTGTGGAAAAACAAACGGAAATACATGGGTCCCAAAAAAATATAGAAATATGTGGGTTGCAAAAGCCTTGTGAAGCCAACCAGCCCTTGTCCTTCCTAAATCGCCATGTTTTGGGACAAACGTGGGACAACATAAAATAAATTAACGTATAGTTTGATGGCCAATTGGTATCATCCACCCCTCCAAAAAAATCCCTGCATCTCAGCTCTAAGACAGACTCATAGTGCGGTCACAAAGGTGTCAATCTCAAATAGAGTTTACTGTACTTTGCTTTTTCTCTTTCATTTCAGGCCTTCCGTCTTGGATAACTATGCCCTTCTTTCAGGTTCGAGCAGCTTAACAATCTGGTACCATAAAAACTTGCCTTTTGGAATTGACTTTATATAGGAAAAAGTTCTTATTGTTCTCATTGTTAGTGAACGTTAACTTTTAACAGGTCAAGTGAACACATTGACCAAACTACTCAAGAATGAAAAAACACCTTCCCTCAGAAACCTGGTCTTGCTACCTCTTCTGGTACAACAAGAAGTTGATCCTGACATTCAGGTGCAGATCATTATTGTTACAGTACAGCTTGGAGATAAGCATCCACGTCAACGTGCTTCAAACTCGCTAGCAAGAAATTTATAAATGCGAGTACGTTTACCTAACGCACTTCAAAAACGGGCTTGCATTAGAACTGATTAGTATGTATGAGCCAGCGCATTGTTCCTTGTTTATTGTTGTCGCAACAGCCGCAACAAAAGGCCTAACAACGTCTACAAGACTCGCTGAAGACAATAACAGTAGACAAGTATTATAGCTGTTCTTTCCTTTTTGCAGTGAAGTGAAATTAACAACCACATAACATCAAAATTAAAATGACCAAAGAAACATTTCCAGGAACTTACAAATACTTTCCTTTATTCACACAGAACATTACATTAATATTCCGCATTCCACAACCTACTGTAATAATAATTAGCATCATTATTTTATTGATTACAATAAGTTAAGTACAGATAGCAGCTCTTTGTGCAGATAAGGAATGCTGGCAATGCCGCATCCAGACCTTGAGATAAGGGGGGGGCAGTCATCCAGAACCTTTGATAAGGGGGGGGGGGTCTCCAAAAAAATTTTTTTCGGCCCTTTGGGCCTCAGTTTGGTCTAAAAATAGGAGGGGATCCAGGCCCCCTGGGCCCCTCCCCTGAATCCGCCACTCGCTGGTCCAGTTGTGTACGGTGCACCACATTAACCCATTCGCTCCTGGAGATTTTGCCGAAAAACGCGTTTTGAAGCTAGTCGAGTGGTTTTCTGGTCACTGTCGTGCTATAAAGAGCTAAAACTTACCACAAACCGGTTTACAGGTCGTACACTTGGCGGCCTTCTGATCCAGATGCAAAATATCAGCTTGCGAAGTTCGGGCATGCGCAGAAAGCAAAATTTCGACATAGTTTTTGGGTTTAAAAGTGACACAGCAGTCTTGACTTTTACTTTTCGCTTTCTCTCCTTCCTTCTTTTTCGCTTTTCTTGCCTCATTTTTTTTTTCTCTTGCTGGGCATTTAGTAGGCTTCATTTTGGTGGGAAGAGTTTTTAGGAAAGCTTTTAGGATCTTAGGATTAGGTGAAAGGAAAGGTAGGTGGGTAATGGAACAAGATTTTCATGGAGATTTTCAGGTTCTTGTCACGTGGTTTTTTGCTTCTTTCTCCGGTGTCCTTGACTGAATTGTGCTCATTCTGGTATGGGTTGAAAGATCTCTTCACTCTGCACAAGTTAGCGAAGAAAGTTGTCCTTGACCGTTAAAACTGATGACGTCACAAAGGGTAGAAAGGACCTGGATCCGCACGGGCGGTTACGGGCGGTTCAGGGGCGAATGGGTTAAATAGGACAATGGAATCAACAGCAGGAAGGATTCAGCCATCGTGGCATTCTGAGCAAATTTTTCCATCACTGTATATGGCAGCTGTGATTAATTAGATTACTGAAGATAGACTTTTTTTTTCAGAAATCAACAGACGGAAGGGTTCAAGCCTTCAACCATGAAGTTGGTCAGCACAATTAATTAAATTGTAGTTATTGATTGATCAATGCTAGAAATTTGAGTGTCATTATTTTAAAGCCATCTTTTATTCATGTCTTCAGTACTGTATAAATGGTGACCTTTTGCTTCAAGACCCTGTATCTTTTTTTTTTTATCTGCTAGTCCCAGACTACTTGCGGACAAAGTATGATCCTGAAATAGAAGATGCAGAGCAAAGACTGGAAACTATGGCAACCAGCATCCCTACTGATCATGCGCAGGTAAAGCAGACCAAGTGCAAAAAAGTAACAGTAACATTTGCGGAACTGTACAGAACCCTAGTAACTCGAACTCTGAAGAGAAACAAAAAACAGTTTGAGTTATTGGGGGTTCAAGTTATCTGGGTGGATTAAATATTAAACTTGTTTTAAAAAAATGAAATGACAATAGAGCTCTATGGCTATGTTGATGTGTTACACATTTTTCAGTATCGCCTAACATAAGGTCCTCTCAATTTTAAGTTAGTCACATAACTTCAAGCATTACAAAGTCATGTATTATGAATTACTTCATCTCCCATAAAACTGATTTATAACTTGCAGTTAATACTGACTATGAATGTGAAAGTATCTCCTCATGCAGTTAAAGCAACATAATACAAAATAGGGAGCTTTAGCAATGACGACGGCAATGGCAGCGAAAACGTCGCTATTAAAAAATAATAATCTTTGTGTTTTTTCAAAATCTGTCGCGATCATTTCAATTCGCTTAAAACATCAAGTGTAGGTAAAATGAATTGTAGGGACCGAATCAAAGTTCGTTGTGGTGTGTTTACTTTCTCCGTACTGACGCACCGTGAGGAATTTCATGTCGTAGTCGTGAAGTGACAGCAAAGAGGTGTACAAAACGTTCTTGAATTCCTCGTTTCCGCTGCCGTCGTTGTTGTCAAAGCTCCCTAACTTTAAAAAAATTGTTGTCATTGTTGATCTCTGTTATTTGTTGTTGAATTCCAGAAGCAGATTGCTACCTTAAATGAACTTGCCACCAATCTCATTGACCACATCACATCAGCGCGAGAGGACTGGGAAGGAGAACAGAGTGCAGGTATTTCTCGCACGTGTTTTGCTGTGGACATATTCACCGTGACTACCTGGTTCTTAAGATCCGGTTTAGTATGAATAGCAACGACATAGAACCGGAACAAGTCGTTCACACTCATTGGACATCGCACCGTAGCAGTTGACCGAGAGGGTTTGACTTAATCCCAATCCTCACTCCTGAATATTTACTTCCCGTCTCAGTGGATTCCAGTCCTCCCTCCTATTTATTCACTTCCGCTACGGTCCGACTGCACCAAAGTGTGAAACAGAATCTATCCGACACGTGACGCTCCATTTTTGGGTTCGGGGCGGCGCAGCCTCACTCCGTCACAGAAATGGCGCCAAAATCATCGTTCTTATGTGCGAACAGAAGTCCTATCCAGTATGATTTTCGTGCGGGCGCAAAAGCAATCCCGTATTGTGTGAACATAGCTTACGGTCCAGTAACTGACTAATTGTTCCATTTGATGGCCTAAGAAAGTCCTTTTGCTTTGTTTTGCTTTGTGTTTTTTTTTTACAGCCTCAAGAAGTTCTTCCACCGTTAATCCCGATCTCAATACTCTAGTGGCTGCTGTGACATTTGGCAAAGGTAAATGCAAGATTAACGTCGAGGTCGTTTTAAAACTCTCTGGAATCCTTGCTGGTAATTACAGGGAAGGAATTACCGGGAAATTTTTTGAAAGAGCTAATGTCGTGGCTCAATCTCAGTTTAAAGTATGATCATCTAAAATACGTTTGGTATGCTGGCTTACCTAGCGCGGAGAAATTGTTTGAAGTTTCTGCACCCCGGCGGTGGCGAGTCCAGAAGAGGGGCCCGGGGACTCCGCCCCTATCTCAAGTTGTGGATCCGGCACTGCCCGGGTGGTTTGTGTAAATGGTAAGCACCCCTTTAAATTTCTGACCAATCACCAAGCGCGAAAAATCAGAAGTGCAAAATCGACTGAATCAAGAGTGATATTTTATTCTCGGGGTGAATTTTATTTTCCCTTGTGTCAAATTCATTATCACAAATTGTCAAACCCAAACATAAATGACAATAAAATTTAAACCAACGGTAAAGTTGAACCAACAACTGCGCCTCGTAACAGGTTTCGATATCCCGAACGAGAGCTAAACTCACAGAACTCGCCAGCGTCGCGTCAGTCAACGAAGAAAGCTGGGGGCAATAAACGCGCGTTTGGTACTTTCTCAGGATATTAAAAAGCGTTCTATTTTTTTTCCAACCGTCTTTTATTTTTTTATAGGACTTAAACCGGCTAAAGTCACAAAGGGAAGAGGATCTAAATCAGATAAAGGTAGAAAGAAAACTATGACCCGTTTTGTTTTTTTGTACGGCTGTTTGTATTCTTTGGTATCCGGTCACCTCGCCACCAAACCATCTTGCTGCCAGCGAAATTGCCACCAAGAAATATAAAAGGACAAGACTCTGAAAGAAAGATCCATTCACTTTAAATTCATAATGAAATTTAAGGAGACCAGGGTCAAGTTAGACTTTCAAAAAAGTCTGAAAAAAGATCGCTCCCCTCGCAAAACTACACTGATCGTAAAACTTGTATTTGGGCTTGAGAAAGAAGTAACTATCCTAGGTAAGTAAACAGTGTCAATTATTGCAGAGTTTTATATGGTGGCGAGTAGACTTCTTGGTAGTCTCCCTCACAGCCGTTTTTTGGATGTCACACAACGCTCCTCCCTCCCCCTTTGGGGGAGCGTTGCGTGACATCCAAAAAACGGCTGCAAGGGAGACTAACTTCTTCGTGGTGATTCGTTGGTGGCGAGATGGCCGTAAAAGGGTTCATCACACGCAACTTTAAGTTAAGAAAAGTATGAAAACAACGTGATTGTAATGCTTTTCACTCTTTTTAGGGCCAAATGTCTGGTCGAATGATAGATCGACGAACAAAGCTCCGAGCTCAGTGAAAGTCGACACCAAGGCGGCTGCTAGTGTCCATCCGTATGCTACAGCAAACAGGCCCAGCAGTCGGACGGGCCTTTAACAACAGGGACCTAGCAACGGGACTAAGCATCCATGTTTCGCTATTGGAGGGCCCAGTTTTACAGAACGTCAAATATTGGCACTTTTTATCTTGCAAATGTACAAATAAAATAAATAAGAGTCAGTACCTTGAGAAATTTACCCTCTTCTCGCGTAAGTTTTCAAACGCACTGCGCATGCCTCTGCATTTGTGTGTTTGGTATTCTCTATAGATATCGGTGTTCGCAACCACTGATAGAGACGCCAAAACGAGGCCAGCAACAGTTCTCTGGAGACCTAACCTGCGTGGCTGGCTGTTATGTTGCAGAGAGCGTATGCAAGAAGCAAAGCCGCGAGGAGAATGGAGCGAAACAACAAGGCTTTGTTGCTCGTTCGCGCTAACTTCGCCGCTCACTTGCGTTTTTGCTTGCCTAGTCCCTAATCCTCCTCTATTTTATTCCGCGAGGCCTATGTGTATCGGATCACGTGGTCCGAGCGAGTGTTTTACCCTTTGATTCGGACAAGTCCCCCAAGTGCATTGACCAAGAAGGCCTGGGAAGACGCCAGAGACTATGCAGAGTTTGCACCAGCCAAAACCGCAAGATAAACAGGCTATTAGCGACCAACCCCCGCTCATAGAAGTAACAGGTAGATCTTAAGTATAACTATTTAAAATCCATGCAGAGTTAGAGGTATGTTTTCATTTGGGCTGTGCTTCGGTTAGTCCCTCCAAAAGTTAGGTGATTTGGAGAGTTTCTGACAGATTCCTTTCGAGAGCTTTGCTTGAGAATTCCTTTAGGGGAAGCCTTAGGCGAGCCCCTCGTTGGAGAGCCGCCAGGTGGAGAAGACCTCGAGATGGTGCTGTTGCGCTCACCAGTTCCTAACGCCACAGCAACTCTTCCAATTGAAAGTACAGAATGTGAATTCGCTTCTCTTACTTCAGGTAACGCGGGTAGAATATAAGCCCGCGTGTTATGATGAGGAAAACGATAAATAAGCCAGAGTTTTGGCGCAAAAATGCAAACAAGTGTTCCTGTCGCAGCGGCTAAATTAGTTAGGCACGCGAACACGGTTAAGCTTGGCCCTACCAAAATAGACCAGCCGGGGTAGAACGTGGCAAAAGTTACTGCAAACACAGTAAGTGAAAATGCTACGTGTTTTGCTTCGTCAAATCTGTGTCCGCGGGGTAGGCCTTTGGTGCTATACGCAACTATCATGGACCCGATCAGAATAGCCGCTAAGTAACATGCGCAGAAATAGCGAACAATCATTCCACCGATGGTCTGGTGTTGTTTGCACGCGGCGTAGACGATAAGGCGCGAGTCGATTTGTTTTTCAACTTGTGGCGGGTCGGCAATGATCCATATCAGCGCGACAAAAACTGGAAAAAACCATAAGGCCGCTACTATGAAAAGTATAACCTTGGATCTGTCTTTCGTAAGAGGCTTGAGCAGAGCGCGGATTCGACAAACTTTAAGAAACTGGACCAATGCCCCACCTGTGTAAACAAAGTAGAAGATTGGCGGCAGTAAACGACAGGTTGTATCAGAAAGCTTGTTAAGGTTGATGAAATTGAACATGTAAGCCAGGATGACGAGGACCAACAATAAGTTGTTGAGAATTCCACCCGTGTCTCGAATAATCGGAGTCTGGCGCTTTTGTACGACAATTGCCATGACAACCAACGTGGAACTCACGCACCCTGCTGTAAGGACACTCAGGGCTATCCCCCAGGCCTCTCCCCATTTCACGAACCTGACCGGGACTTCCTCGCATTTGGTTTTATTTTGGTTTGATATAAAACCTTTGGGACAACTAGTACATTGGGAACTTCCCAAGGACTCACTAACAGTGTCCAGGTCACATGGTACACACTCCCAGAAGCACTGATTGGGCTTGCTTCGGTAGGTACCAGGCTTGCAGATTTCTCCACAAGTAATTCGAGGTTTTACATTCTGGTGCCATTGCATCAGATCATCGCGCACGCTTAATCTCGGCGCTCTTCCCATGTTCCAAAATCCTATCTTGACGAGATCAAAATTGCCTTGAGGCGTTTCCTGCAGGTTGTAAATGTCATACGCTGCTTCAACCTCACCCCTTTGAAAGTCGATTCGGCCCGTAATTCCTTGAAATGCTGAGAGGTTCTTGAGACTTCGTAATAGATCGTCTGGACGCAGGGCGGAAATGCGATCAGAACACGAAGCTCCTGGAGAGTTGCATTTAAGTAAATTCCTCAGGGCATAAGCAACGGAATACACCGCGTCTCTGACATATGGAATAACCCCTTGGCTGTAGTCTCGGGCGTACGTCTCGAGCGAGATCCTCTCTGTACCCGAACACTGCTTGTAAAAGGGACTCGGGTAGTTCACGGCTGAACAGGTGAATTCGTCCTGCCAAAATTCATTCCACCAGATCCCTTTATCCATAAGAGGCCCCACCTCGATAATATGTTGTTCGAATTCTTTAAAAGGAAATCCATGGAAACCAAAGCCTATAGCACCTTGAATGACCGGCTTGAACCGCACTTCTTGACTGATCAATGCGGATTCTGCCCATCCGTCACTCGCAATCCACGTTTTCCCAGTCATTCCTTGTTTAAGTGCTTCCTCAAACACTTTTATTGCTTCTGGAACAAGGCTATACAATATTATAATTTGCACATGATCCATGCTCTTCAGTCGAGTGATCACTTGAGGAATTAGATCTTCGGAGTCGTGGACAGGGAACAGCTGTCGCATGACGATGCATATTCCGCTATCATTCGCTGCGCTCACGAAAGCATCAATCCCGCTCCGGCCGTACCAATCATCCACTCCAATGACAGCGACACAAGTCCACTTATAGTGAGCTACCAGCTCCGCCATAGCAAGTGACTGAAATTTATCCACCGGAACGGTACGAAAGAATGACGTAAACTGGGGGTCAGATAGTTCCGCACTTGATGCCCCGTAGCTTACTTGAGGCACATCCACGACTTGGAGGACATTTGCCACGTTGACTGAGATCCGCGAATCCAAACCTCCAATTACCGCTAAAATAGGATTTTCTTTTGATGACGTTGCTTGCGCAACACAGCTGTTCGTCACGAGATAACGATGGTCAAATTTGAGCGTGTTTCTGAAGACAAAATCCGAAACAACAGTTACTGCTTCTTGGTCATCGCCACACGTGTCGCGAATATCATATCCCAAAGTCACGTTTGTTAGAATAGAGCTGTTTTTGTTGATTTCGTCCACAGCGAACATCATAGCCTCGGCATACATTAGAACATTTGGTCGCAGGTCCGAGCACGATTCTTGTTGTTTGACCAGGTGGAGGGGGAATAATCCTCCTAAAATGATGTCACCATGCTTATAAGTTCTTGTGTTTCTGTAGTCTTTCAAAGAAAGAGAAACATCGACCAGGGTATCAACAGCGAGAAGAACAATTACACTGAAGAAACGTAGAGGGTCCATTATATAAATTATGACTTTTGAACTGTGGGCGAAAAGTTGAGAAGATTATCGACAGATTATATGTCCAAAATTCGGCCGTTCTAAAATGTAACAAATCCTGTCGCCTCTTTAGAAGACTCTAAATCCACGTCAGATCACAAGACGTCTGTACGTTAATCCCTTGAAACTGACTCGAAAACTGAAAGTAGTGAATTAGCCATAACATTGTCAAACGCTAAATTCACGAGCAAACACAATGCAAATGATATGTTACGTTTGAGGTCTTTGTATTGGCCTTCGTTTCCTGACGCGTGACCAAAAGCGGACATTAACATTGTCAATTGTTTTTATCGTCTAACATTGATCAGCGAATCGTGACCGACAGCAGGCCAACATTTTTTTCCGGTGGAAAACTTTCATTTTAAGAAAAAATGTAAAACAAAAAAGTGAAACTCAAAGATTAGTGTAGATGGACACTGAGACGCTCTGCTTTTATCCGCAGACTCACAGTAGCCCTGGCAGTTCGCATAATAAACAGCACCACAGGATGAAGGAATAATTAATGTCAAGTTTTTTGATCTCATGATTTGAACCAGTGAACACGTAACAGAATTTGATCCACGACCTTTAAAAGATAGAACTAACTTGTATGAACGTAATAAACAGTACAGTTCCAAAGAATAGTCCCCCAGCTCAAGATCAGAGTCGAGTCTCCTTGAATTGGTTTTACATTTACTCGGGATAGAAGTGGTTTGCTTTCTCTGAATAAATGACAGAAGAGAAAAAAGATCACTGATATCAGGGGCACCCAACGAGAATATAGTTCAAAACCACTTAAACATAGCATTGTTAAATGTATTTTAGTATTTAAACGGTAGATATAGGCATATTTTTATCCCCTAAAAATTTTTGATCTGTTCGGATTTCCTAGCTGAAAGTCTCCTGATCCGAAAATCATAGGGATCAAAACTTACCTTTTCGAAAATTTCAGCCAGAAAAAAGGCTCCCGAAAATTCTAGGTGAGCTTTTTAGGGTAAAAATCCGTTAAAAATGGCCAATTACACCAATTTTTAGATGTTCGAGAATCCTAGGAGAGGTAGGCAAGCAAGAAATTTTACAATGTTCCGAAAATTCTAGATCTCAAATCGTCTTCCGAACAGATATTTTCCGAAAATTGACGTTGGGTGCCCCTGTGATATGCACAATAGCGTGAGTCATTTCCTGCTGTAATATATTTTCTAGCAATACAACACAACCTCCTGATTGCGTATTGGAGTTTAATGATCAACATTGATTGTTCATTGTGAATTTCAACAGAAACAGTTAATATCGAGTATACGTGGTCAGTTTGGTTCTTATCGGTCAAGGAGCTCGAGGTAGCAATAAAAAGCTATAAAAGAAATCGGTAGATTGAAGAATAATTGCAAGTGAATTCATTGTTCCGTGGGTCATATTTAAAGTTTACATGAGTCGATTGTACATCCATGAAATATATTTCTCTAGTAATTGTCAATGATTGTTCCGTTTCATAAAACGCCAGTGCGCCACCAATCATCCATTCCGCCAGTCCACTTCAAAAATTAGGTTTAAGCTATGGTACATAAAGCAAGTTTAAAATAACTATAATTTCAGTATTACTTTAACATCTTTGAAAT